TATTCTCCTTATTTTTCTACAAATACAGACAATGCACTAGTCCTTATGAATGAGGCACACCTGATCGACTGGAACTTTTAAAGTCCCAGGCAAGGACTGGGAAAGTTCTCATTTAAGTTCAACATGCATGGATATCAATTAGACAAAAGCAGCTAAAACAACTATTGCCTAAATAATAATGTCAATGCAATTACAACTCATACGTCATCCAAACTGTTAAAGCTGGGGTACCTAATTTTCAATGAAATGTATTAAATTATTTCCCTAGTTTATACAGGGTTCTCTCTTTCATTTTTTAATCACATCTTTAGACTAGTTTTTCAGACCAGAAAGGCTGACTGGAGAGGACCACTCTAGCTGCACTCCATTCATCTTTCAGCCCAAAGCGTCATTGTGAGTCAGATTATGGATTATTTCCTCTGTAAAATTGTATCAAATAAGACAAGTACCTGCAGAGACTCTAGATATTGGGACACACAAAAATAAGTTTTAGGAACCCCAGCTTTTAACGGATCAGTCCAACAGTGGCTGCAACAAGATGCCAGATCTCTCCACAGACACGATGCTGTCCAGTGCGCAGTGCTTCAAACTCCGTGCGTGATCAATTCTCAGAAAAAAAACCCACGAAGAAGCTCTTAGAACAGAAAGAAATTACACCATGACAACTCACCCACTCCCATCTTCTCGTCCTCGGTCGGAGTCCACATGATGCCTGGATGCCCAAATCCCAAAACGCAGTAGAGAGTAGACTTCCAACAGCCAGGTACCTTTCAGCTTTCATTCACAGAGCAGCAGGATGGGAAAAAAAACATTTAAAAAAGTTATTGGGCTTTGAATGAATTATCTTCTTGCAGATACTCGTGAGCAAATTGTTGCATCCTCCGCACAAAGTCAATTCATTCAACCGAAAGACAGGCACGCACGCTCGTTGAAATCCTCCGAATAACGCGCGTAGTCCATTTTACACCGCCCTGCTTTAGTCTCCACTGTCCAGGAGCCGTGCCGTGACCATGACGCGCTGTTTTGCGGTCAAATCCAACTCGTATGTGATGAAAAAAAAAAAAGGGGGAATCCTCTCTCCCCGCTGCTGATTGGAGCTGTCAAAGTTGGAAAGCTGCAGTGCCGTGTGGAAGAGTCGTGCGCAGTGGCAGTAGTGGGGCAGGCAGAAGATTAACGTGGATCAAGAGAAGGAAAAAAAAAGCCAGATGGAGAGGGATGCGCGGCCAGCAGAGAGAGAGAAAGAGAGAGACACAGAGAGAGAGAGAGAGAGAGAGAGAGAGAGAGAGAGAGAGAGAGAGGGGGGGAGTTTGGTGTTTATGTGTGCGCCTTATCGCTCGGGAACATCCACCGCTGCGTGCCCGTACAGCAACAGCAGTTCTATAATGCTCTGTGTGGTGTTATGCTGAGGATGTATATGCAGGCGAGCTCTGAGTTATGCAAATACAGACTGTGCAGAAGGTTTACAGTAACGATTATAATGCGTTGGGTTTTTATAAAGAGCTTTACAGGACGCGCAAAAGCTTCTCATACGCGTACATTCACGCCAGTTTGTGCCAACGGGTTCTTATACCACCATCAGACATTCTCACACACACACACACACTCCGGGCTCATTCTAATCTATAGTCAAAGTGAGTGAAGCATCTTGCCGAGAAGAAGTACTTTACAGCCTCCCCATTGTAGCCATGGACTTCGCAGAGGTCTCCCATCGCACTACTCACCAGGACATGCCCAACTTAACTCCAGTGCTCTGACTGCTTTGACCTGCAGGTATGTCCAGAACAACATTTGAAAGATTGTTACTTTAGAGGCAATTCGGCCTATGGCAATAACCCATGTTTTTTTTGGTATGTCCTCGATCACATAGAATTTTGGAGAATGACAGCATTAAGACTAAGAGTAAGAGATCCTTTATTCGTCCCACAGTGGGGAAATTTCAGTGTTGCGTCACCAGTTACAGAACAGTAGGAATAAAGAGCACACAGCACAATATTAATGAACAATAACGCAAAAAAAAAAAACAACTCCAGCATCAAAAGAAACAAGTGCAAAACCTCTGACTTTAGCAAAATGAGAAGCAAGTAAGTAAATGAAAAGCACATTACCTAAACATGAAAAATCAGACCAACACCAATCAGAAAGTCAGTAATCCGGGCTGCCAGAACTCACCGCATCGAGCTGATCTCACTGGTAAAGTCACTAAAAAAGGTCTTGTTATGATTCTCAAATCTGCTGTCTATTCAGCTGTTATGGTCCCAGCTGGATTCGTCTGCATATATGGCAACCTGAGTCAGGGAGAGTGGGAGAGGCTGCAGTACCACTTTTGGCCAGAAATGTACATACTGCTCCTTTAAATTGATTGGCACAATGTGACCTTTGAACCTGGATCCATCAGTTAGTCCTGTTGGCTTCATCGTCAGTGGCAAAGTCATTAAGCTCATTATGACAGAGGTTCTTGGAATATTTTTGTCAGATCTGGAATTAAGGCAATAATTATAACATAATCTATAATAGAAATGATAATTTTTTTATCTTTTATTCATTCCACGTTCTGGACATTTCCGTGTTGCATCAGAGTTTACAGAACAATGGGAATGAGGAGCACACGACAGGGTTGAGCAGAAGAGAGGTGCCAGAGCCGAGCTGAGAAAAAGTGCATTAAAGTGCTTCTGGAGTACCCGGAGGAAACCCACCCATGTGCAAGAATGAGTTTGTAGGGAGGCTCTTTCCAGTCAATGTAAGAGTGAGTTTGGGAAAGAGCTAGAATCATAACAAGCTACTCTTTCAATACATCATCTACAAATGCTCATGAGGGCAGTTTTAGAGTCCGCTCCCACATAATGTTATTCTATGCTGGAAATCCACTCAGCCATTTCCAGTTTGTTCCTTGATTGTGGTAGAAGCAAAGCTGTTCTGAAATTCTTCGATAGAAACACTTCTTTGGACTTGTATAAACGTCTTTTTGTATTTTCTCAGGTGGAGGACCAGTTTGCCCGATGTTTGTCCTGGAGCTTGTTTGGACTTTGTGAATATAATTTTTGTCTCTCCAGTGTTTTTTTGTTAATTCAAGGTGCAGTATGTACAAATCTGGCCAAAATTAGTATACTGCAACCTCTCCCATGCACTCTCCCTGACTCAGGTTGCCAGATATGCAAACAGATCCAACTGGGACCATACAATCTGAATAGACAAGAGTTTTGTCAAAATCAAATCTAAAATCAACACCTTTTTCACAAAGACAGAAATCCTTGTTTTATGTATTGTTTTGTCATGAATGTTTTGAGAATCATAACGAGACATTTTTTAGTTCTGCGGCCACATGGTACTTTACCAGTGAGATTAGGTCGACGCAGTGAGCTCTGGCGCCCGGATCACAGACTTTCTGATTGGTGAAACGGTGGAGGGCGGGACATCGGAACGAATACAATAACAATATTTAGGATCTGTAAAACAAATTTTCAAAGTCAAACATCTCGGCTGAACCACTGCTATTAGTTAAAGGTATATTTGAAAAGAGCATGGCTTGTTAATGCCTTCTGACAGATTAGGCCCACTTCATGATGACTTGACAGGAAAATCTTACATATTGCTACTTTAAATGAACCTGTCATTCCTTGGATCTGCGTTTGGATTCATTTAATTGAGATGAAAACAGGTTCTCGATCAGAGCCTGGTCCTCACAGCACACATGGTTCCTTACATTTGAACATACAACAGTTGTTTTCAGAGCTGCCTCCAGGTCTGCTACTGACCCGCTCACATCTAAACCCCTCTTCAACTTTTGGATCCAACTAAACACATGACAACACCACACAATCAGCTGCTGTGTAATGGAATAAACTTGGTCAAATGAACCGCGTAGAGCACTTTATGAATGCACTTTGACAAGAAAAGTCCACAAGACTTTGGAGCGTTTTTCCATGTTCAGCCTCACAGAAATGAACAAAAAAGATGGATTTTATTTCTTGTCAATCACTAACTTGCGAGTTGTGAGTTTAAACGAAGAGAAAAGGTGTTTATGTTTTCTTTTGTTCAGGGAGCACGTGCCTTCTGATTCATTCATGTAAGTAAGTAAGTAAGTAAGTAATGTTTATTTATATTGCACATTTTACAGACCAAGGTCACCCCAAGCGCTTTACAATGTTCAGAGTTCAGATATTGTTCCAATCATTCCACACACGGTGATGACAGAAGCGAGCCCAGAACACACTGGACCATCAGCTCCAACCAACACCATCCATTCACTCTCTCATTTACATTCATACCTATTGTGCATGTTTTTAGAGGTATAGGGGAAACTGGAGCACCCGGAGGAAACCTACGCAGACACAGGGAGAACATGCAAACTCCGCTCAGCCCCTGTTCCGACCGGGATTCGAACCTACTTGCTGAGAAGCGAGAGTGTTATCCACTCAGCCACCTCCCGCCTAATGTAGTTCATACACAATTAACTCAAAGTGCTGAACAACACAAGATAGCATTAAAATCATAAATAATCACAGGACATTAAAAAGAAAGATAAACATGTAAAATCCCCCAGTTGTCTGCACAGATAAACAGAAATGTGTTTAACCTGGATTTAAACATTATCAGAGAAGAGGCCTGTCTCACATTTCCATGAAGATTGTTCCAGATATTAGCAATGTAGGTAAATCCATAGAAAAAAGGACACATCTTCAGAGATGTTTTTCACTTTAGAGTATTATTGTTTCCATGTTGTGAGACAGATATGTATATGGAATGAGAAGGGCCTTCAGCTGCCAAATTAGCCTTATCCAATGGTGTCCTAAAAACATAACATAACATAATTCATCCTCCTCGATTAAAAAACGGAAAACATTCTGAAACCAGCATTCTCACAAGTCTTAGCATTCTGGTCTGGGGAGAACCCATTCAGAGTAAGAGGACAAGGGCACCACAAGACGGACAAACAACTTGAAAGGAGAGGAAAATAAGTTGTGTAAGAGCAGAAAAACAACACAGCAGTCAAAATGTTTCAGATGGAAGTGAGAGTTCATGGGAGAGGACTCATGGGGGAGAGGACTCATGGGGGAGAGGACTCATGTGGGAGAGGACTCATGGGGAGAGGACTCATGTGGGAGAGGACTCATGGGGTGAGGACTCATGGGGAGAGGACTCATGGGGAGAGGACTCATGGGGGAGAGGACTCATGGGGAGAGGACTCATGTGGGAGAGGACTCATGGGGGAGAGGACTCATGGGGAGAGGACTCATGGGGAGAGGACTCATGGGGAGAGGACTCATGAGGAGAGGACTCATGGGGAGAGGACTCATGTGGGTGAGGACTCATGGGGAGAGGACTCATGGGGAGAGGACTCATGGGGAGAGGACTCATGAGGAGAGGACTCATGGGGAGAGGACTCATGGGGAAAGGACTCCTGGGGGAGAGGACTCATGAGGAGAGGACTCATGGGGAGAGGACTCCTGGGGGAGAGGACTCATGAGGAGAGGACTCATGGGGAGAGGACTCATGGGGACAGGCCTCATTGGGAGAGGACTCATGGGGGAAAGGACTCATGGGGAGAGGACTCATGGGGAGAGGACTCATGGGGGAGAGGACTCATGGGGGGAGGACTCATGGGGGGAGGACTCATGGGGGAGGAGGACTCATGGGGAGAGGACTCATGGGGAGAGGCCTCATTGGGAGAGGACTCATGGGGAGAGGACTCATGGGGGAGAGGACTCATGGGGGAGAGGACTCATGGGGGAGAGGACTCATGGGGGAAAGGACTCATGGGGAGAGGACTCATGGGGAGAGGACTCATGGGGAGAGGACTCATGAGGAGAGGACTCATGGGGGAAAGGACTCCTGGGGGAGAGGACTCATGGGGAGAGGACTCAAGAGGGAGAGGACTCATGGGGAGAGGACTCATGGGGGAAGGACTCAAGAGGGAGAGGACTCATGGGGAGAGGACTCATGGGGAGAGGACTCATGGGGGAGAGGACTCATGGGGAGAGGACTCATGGGGAGAGGACTCATGGGGAGAGGCCTCATTGGGAGAGGACTCATGGGGAGAGGACTCATGGGGAGAGGACTCATGGGGAGAGGACTCATGGGGAGAGGACTCATGGGGAGAGGACTCATGGGGAGAGGACTCATGGGGAGAGGACTCATGGGGAGAGGACTCATGAGGAGAGGACTCATGGGGGAAAGGACTCCTGGGGAGAGGACTCATGGGGAGAGGACTCATGAGGAGAGGACTCATGGGGGAGAGGACTCATGGGGGAGAGGACTCATGGGGAGAGGACTCATGGGGAGAGGACTCATGGGGAGAGGCCTCATTGGGAGAGGACTCATGGGGAGAGGACTCATGGGGAGAGGACTCATGGGGAGAGGACTCATGGGGAGAGGACTCATGGGGAGAGGACTCATGGGGAGAGGACTCATGGGGAGAGGACTCATGAGGAGAGGACTCATGGGGGAAAGGACTCATGGGGAGAGGACTCATGGGGGAAAGGACTCATGGGGAGAGGACTCATGAGGAGAGGACTCATGGGGAGAGGACTCAAGAGGGAGAGGACTCATGGGGAGAGGACTCATGGGGGAAGGACTCAAGAGGGAGAGGACTCATGGGGAGAGGACTCATGGGGAGAGGACTCATGGGGGAGAGGACTCATGGGGAGAGGACTCATGGGGAGAGGACTCATGGGGAGAGGACTCATGGGGAGAGGACTCATGGGGAGAGGACTCATGGGGAGAGGACTCATGGGGAGAGGACTCATGAGGAGAGGACTCATGGGGGAAAGGACTCATGGGGAAAGGACTCCTGGGGGAGAGGACTCATGGGGAGAGGACTCAAGAGGGAGAGGACTCATGGGGAGAGGACTCATGGGGGAAGGACTCAAGAGGGAGAGGACTCATGGGGAGAGGACTCATGGGGAGAGGACTCATGGGGGAGAGGACTCATGGGGGAGAGGACTCATGGGGAGAGGACTCATGGGGAGAGGACTCATGGGGGAGAGGACTCATGGGGAGAGGACTCATGGGGAGAGGACTCATTGGGAGAGGCCTCATTGGGAGAGGACTCATGGGGAGAGGACTCATGGGGAGAGGACTCATGGGGGGAGGACTCATGGGGGAGAGGACTCATGGGGAGAGGACTCATGGGGAGAGGACTCATGGGGAGAGGACTCATGGGGAGAGGACTCATGGGGGGAGGACTCATGGGGGGAGGACTCATGGGGGAGAGGACTCATGGGGAGAGGACTCATGGGGAGAGGCCTCATTGGGAGAGGACTCATGGGGGAGAGGACTCATGGGGAGAGGACTCATGGGGAGAGGACTCATGAGGAGAGGACTCATGGGGAAAAGGACTCCTGGGGGAGAGGACTCATGGGGGAGAGGACTTATGGGGGAGAGGACTCATGAGGGAGAGGACTCATGGGGGAGAGGAATCATGAGGAGAGGACTCATGAGGGAGAGGACTCATGGGGGAGAGGAATCATGAGGAGAGGACTCATGGAGGAGAGGACTCATGGGGGAGAGGACTCATGGGGAGAGAACTCATTCACAGAAACGGGTCTTCTTCCATAGACAGAATGTAAATCAGGGGCTTGTTCTGGGAAGGATGGGTAAGATCATTGAAGCGCACTCAAATAAAACTTAGACCACGACATCCATTTGTGTAAATAAAATAATTAACTTAAATGCAGTAATAATTTTAACAATCTTTTTAACACAAGGAGGCGATGGATTGTAAGGCAAAAGTGTCACACAATACATAACATCATCTGTGTTTTAGAGGTGCCCTCTAGTGGATGGTTTCAATAATGATTATTTTAAGGGCAAAAACTTATATTTTTTGGTCATTTATTTTATTAAATTACAACCGAGTCCAGGAGGGATCCAAACGTTATCGATCATTTCATTAAAGCTGACCAGTGAGCTATTTCTGGTCCATGGGAAATCTGTATTTTATTCTGTTTATTTGTGAGCATACATTTCTTATTGACATACTGTTCAAAAACGATAGTGGAGGCAATAGTTTAACTTTTTTTCCATAATTATGGAAGAACACTTTGTGCTGGTTACAAATCACTTGAACAATTTTTGATCAAGAAAATTCCTTAAGTTGATCTCCTTTGGAGACTGCATCAAATATCCACATAAACAAAAAACATATCAAGCCACCGCAGGTACAGAAAATCCCAACTCTTCTAGAATAACCTACATTTGTATTTAATTGATCTGCCACTTCTGCTCATGTTGCACAAACGCACTTCCGCCACGTCTAACAAGCTCCAGACAAAGCCCTGCGAAGGACACAAACATTGCGCAAAAGGGCATTTTATTTTATTATACGGACAGAAAAAAACATAAATATTATGATAATCTTATGAAATTATATTGGGCCTCTTCAGAACTAAGTTCACGTCAAGTGTTACTATACAATGAACTATGTACAATATGTGTATCGCTGAGATCAGACCGAAAAGCACTGAAGACAAACTATAAAGCTTATAAAAGCCGGTCAGCATCGTCAACAAACATTTTAAAACACATATTTACACAATTCCCACAACTAATTTACCTATAGACAGATATTGGGTATTTTTTATACAACAGAAATCTTTTCATATGAAAATATAAAAGATACAAATGTATTCACAGCATCTAATTAAGAAAACCGTATTTGTGGATTTGTGGCAGCACAATTTGCTAGAACCTTCTCAATATGACACATGGAAAAAGGGTCTGATTTCCACAATTGTCTTTGACCTGTGGAGAAAAGTTTGAAAATACAGACGACCAGTGGAAAAACCAAACCGCCGTTAAACCCAAAAGAAGAAGACGACCAGTGGAAAATGGAACTGCAGTTAATATATTCTTCTGTTGGTGTCACAGTCGACTGGATTCAATCCAATAGCCCTGGAACACAAGTCAATGGGTGTTATTTAGAGAAAGTTCACGTAACCCACTTTAACCAGTCGCGTTCCATGACGTCCATGATTTATTCTAATTTACAGAAAGCTTTGTATTTGAATATGTTTGAATTCGTCAGTCCTGCCGGTGCAGTACAATACTCCAGGTAAAGCAATGATACAGATTCAAATGTTAAAAGTCTATGATTATGACTAATGGACGCCAGGGGCCTGTTCATCTTCATCTAACAGCTTTGGGGCGGCACGAAGGCAGACAGGTAAGAATGCTCACTTCTCAGCAAGGTCCTGGGTTTGAATTCAATGGGCCGAGGTAGTTCAGGTGAGTCACGAGAAACCATCTCATGTTAGTTTGTACTAATAACCTCTTACCATCAAGTTATCCAAAATATTATTCACTTAGAATCCTCTCTAGAGCCACCAACAATGGTCTAACCCATTTTACCCATGATCAGCTCAAAGCCCCAGTGGACCCTCTGCTTGTGGACAGACCAAGTGTGAACTCACAGTTGTAAGGGTCGTCTTCCTCCGACGTGCTGTGGTCGGCGTTGTACTCAGAGCCCTCGTTCAAGTCACTGTTTCCTTCTTCGTTTTCCTCGTTGTCCTCGTTGCCTTCTTCACCTTCTTGCTCGTCATAAACATAATCCAGGAGGCGTGCCAACTGCCACAGGACCCAAAAATAACAGATTACAAACAATTCTTTTGCACAATATCTCATTCATTATTACATCATCAATAACATAAAAACACACACAAAGCTCAAGGTCATAATAAAACACAACACTTGATTATATATTTGTAAGATGCTGCTTTTAGTTTACATCATTTCTAAATATACAACAAATGTCTTTGCATTAATATAAAAAAATCAAAATGTCCAAATGAAATAAGTCCATAATAATGAGAGAATTGCCTCGTGTGCCATGGGGGCTCCCGCCTCGTCGTTTTCCGCGTTTTCGTCTCTGACCAGTTCTTCGATCAAAGGGTCAGTGTCCATGTCGTCGTCGTCGTCGTCATCGTCAGAGTCTGAGGAGTCGTCTGCATCGTCCTCATCATCCTCCTGCAGGAAACATGTCAACATCATATCACAGGTTTCATATCAAATTAGAGGCACTGTCATTTCAAAAGTATTCATCCCCATAGAAACAGAACCGTGGGTTTTGTTACAACCACAAATAAGATATCCCATCAGTATTTACAGGACTTTATTCACAAATAAAACACTTGAAAATATATGGAATATTAATAATCTTGCCTTCGCTTCACAATTGTCACGTTGTGTTGGTCTTTACCGTTAATTAAAAGGTATACAGGAGGATTTTTAGGAAAGAACCGCCTTCTACACTTTTTGATTGACAATTGGAAGGGCCAATATTCTTGATGATCCACCCGGAAGTAGAAAATCCTCCCATATACCTTTAAGAGTGTAGCTTTTACCAAAAGTGATTTTATTAAACTGGACGCCAAAGAGTTTCTTTGTGGTTGTAATGCGTAAAAAAGTATTAGGTATGAATACTTTTTACTAATTTGAATTAATTTGATTTACAGGTTTTCTAATAACAAACCTCATCGTCTCCCTCTTCGGCCAGTTTATGTCGCCCGACTTCATACAATCGACAAACCGTGTCCAGACTCACACCGTCCTGATTCTGCAGATTAGAAGACCACACTCATTATATGGCCAAGAATTTTCACAAATCGGCATTTTTATTTTATTCATTCATCATCTTGTTTAAGTCTGTAGTCAGCATAAATCCAGATCCTGCTCCTCTGCAGTCCAGCTACGGCAAGAGGCTAGAGGAGCTAATGCTAACAACAACAACACAAGTTTGCACAAATAAAAGTCCTTGTTTAAGACCAACACTGTTATTTGCGAGTGTGTAGAAAGTCCCTGTGCTGCAGTACGAGACCACGTTTATCTCTCCTCACATCTGGCATTTTCTTATCACAAACAGAAAAGTTTCCTCATCTCTGCTCTCTCCTGTCGCCTCGTCACCATGAGGAGTAAAGCCTTCAGCCGCTCTGCTCTCCATCTCTGGAACACTCTCTGCCCTGACCTCCGTAACACACTCACACACTTCAAATCCACCTCAAAACTCATCTGTTTAGACCTAAGCTTACTGACTAGCACCATAACCACACCATCCTCTGTTCAGGCCGCTTTTAACTTTGTATTTTAACTGTTTTTCAAATGTACTTTTTACTTTGTCAATAAATTAAAATGCCTCTATGACACTCAAATAACAATAATGCAGAGTTTAAAGCCCACTCATTCCAAATTTCAAAGCAACACTAACCATCAAGAATACCCAAAAGAATTCAGTGTGGACAGCGTTTACTCTGGATGTGGATATTCCTCACGTTGACTTTTCCACTAAACAGCGAGGTTTGATCTGACCAGACACCGGTGCAACAGTCAATAGAATTTTAGATTTAGTTTGGCCAAATGTTTAAAAACGATCTCCACAATTACTGCGATTAGTTGTGGCCCAGCGGAGCAGAAGTGGAATTTGAGCGTTACCCACACAAAAACTATGCTTCCCACACATTCATATTCACACATACAAACATACTTTGTTGTTTAAAAATAAAAAAGGATGAATAATAAAGCCACCTCATACCTCAATAACGGCTAAATAGCAGTCTTTACTATCCGTACACATGTCAAAAATGTTCCTCTTCACATCCACAGTGGCTGCAGAGAAATGATAGAGAATGTGATTAGCATGTAGCAACTGTATATAATCTATTCATGTTGATCATGTATGAAGAGGGAAGACAGTGGAACTCACCTATGGGCTTGTAGTCTGTCGCATCAAAAGTCCGGAACGAGGATCCAAAGGGACTTTTCACCTGCTGGTCCACAGAGTCGTCGTCATCGTCGGCCTGGAGCATCGCTAGAGCCAGATCAAAGTTTAACACTGCATGTAGATATCTTATTGGAACCGAAGCTTTTTAAAGAAACCGAACCTCCGTATATTATGGTGGCGTTGCTGTTGAAGACGAGACGGCACTGGTCTAAAGCTGGGACGGTGTGCAGCAGGTGGAAAGTCCGGAGGTCCCACTGCAGCTGTGGTTAAGGGCTACTTTGTTACTTTAGACACAAAAAATGACTTTGGGAAACATCGGCAACTATAATTATTAACAATGATTCAAAATGAAAACTATTGTCTCAACTGGCTGATTTTTGATAATATTATTTAGCATACCCTACATCCAATGCTAGACATAATTATGCATTATGCAAAGTACCCTATTTTGTGTGTCCTACAAACAGAAGAATTTAGTTTTAACAGTTGGCAGCCATCCAGATGTCTTTTGTGGTGAGCTGTGAGAGTTTCCATTAGTCCACTTGATTGGAGCCAGGACATAAGCCGTGCACTTCCTGAATAAAACATTAGATGCACAATGTATTTGTAAGTGAGCGTTATTATTTGCTCAATTACACAGACAAAGTCAAGGCCCAGTACTTCAGACATGGAGTACTGGGCCTTATGGAAGTATAGTTTTCGAAGCTTTTGAAAAGAATACGATCTCCGTGTTGATGATCACTTCGAGGGCGTTGGGATGGAACACGCCGCTGATGTTTGTGTTGAACTTGTCAAACTTATGAATGGCTCTTGAGGCGCGGACGTCCCACAGCACGCCATCGTTCAGCACCAGGTCGTCGGACGGGTTGAACGTGGCGCAGTTTCTCTTGTAGTTATTGGAGAGCGCCGGATCGTACAGGGTTGTGCTCTTCTGCCCGGTCTGGACATCATAGATCTATGCATGTTTAACAAAAGTCTTCATTATTTGTTTTCACAGAATTTCCCATGGCATAGTGGACAGCCACAATCATTCACAAGTTTTTTTATGTTTGTTTTAGGAGTGAATATGTTATCAATGTAGATCACATGATTAACAAGTTACATTTTTAAATCTATCCATTTTCTTCCCCTTAATCTATTTCTGGGGCGGGGGGGGGCAATCAGAGCTGCTCACAAAACGACAGCAGACATCAGTGGGAACTCCCACTGATGTCTGCTGTCGTTGAAGGTGAAGGTGAAGGTCTTGTGGTGGGCTTGAAACTACGACATTCAAGTCCAAAGGCCAATGCTCTACCAACTGAGCCACTGTTGCCACATTTTTTTATGTTGTTCCAATTATAACTGTTAACTGTAACAATTGATAACAAGACAACAGAAACAGGTTGCCACATTCTTAAAGAAAAAAAACTGCTTCTGTAAAACAATGCAAGACTTTTATCCCTCACAAGTATTTTTGTGTCAGATCAAAATCCTCAAGTAGTAGATAACAATGTATTAATAGTTATTGTTGACACCGATAGATAGAAAAAAAGATTCATTTGTGTCAATCCAGTCAAAAATAATAGAAAAACTCACATTGGCAACATGATCGTGAGTGCCGATGACCCGGTCCTGAGAGAGTTTGCTGAACTCCACATAGTGGTCATCCACAAATGAACTCCTGCAAAAAACCAAATGACACCATTTTTTAAGTTTAAAGAGTAACTTAAAGAGTAACTAATGTGTGTGTGTTTGTTCGTACTTGAGAGTAAAGACTCCATCCAGACTCCAAAGAGCAGACAAAGGAACACTCCAGGACGCTGAGGTGAGCAGCAACTTCCCATCCTATAAATGTACGCGTTTGTTTAGAATACTTTTATGATGCCATCATAACTTTTCATATTTTAACTAATTTTAAAGTCTGAACAATTGTTTTATGTATTATTCAATTCAACCCAGGGGACTGTCAGAAAAACAATGGAACACAATGATCCCTGGGGTCTCCCTGTGACAGAGCAGGAGTGCAACAAGTGACTGTAATGATATATAATGATTCATTTGATCTAACTATAAACTATACTTTATAACCAATAAATAAAGTGCATCAGCTGAAGCACACACTCTGGAGGGTTCGAGGTGGGTGATGGCGGAGGTGTGGCAGGTGTAGTTGGAAGCCTCCTCTCCTGTAAACACGTTGAAGAATTTGAGGTGTCCAGAGCACGTCCCCAACATCAGGAAGCGCTCACGGGCCGAAAAGGCACAACAAGTAAAGTCACTTTCATCTCCAGGACCTTCGTGAAAAACAGAAAGGGGACGAAATCTGTACAGAAAAAAACGATACAATGATTAACTTGTGGGTCTACGATAATGTCTATGATAGTGTCTATGATGTCGTCTATGATAATGTCTACGATAACGTCTACGATAATGTAACCAGTGAACTTTATCTGACGACACATCACCTGCTAAATATGAGGTGTCTATCGAGAGAGCCTCTGTCCACGCCTCCATATTTAGGATAGAGCACTCTGCTCCCCAGGCGGGCCGTGAAGTTGGGCGATGCTTGTCGGCGCTGCTTGGGCTCAGGGCAGCGGTGAGGGGTGAAGAGGGAGAACGGGGGGCAGGTGGTGACCGGGTTGGGGCAACGTGCATGTTGTTCTCTCAGATACTCTGTGATGATACTGTCCAGTGTGGGAGGGGAGGGCTGGTGTCGCTCGAACTGCTTCTTCATGGCAGGAGTCTGAGAGAAAGTTGGAGCATTTATTATATACAGAGATATTTACAGAGATCTGAGAGGTATCGGAGGAACTCTGACTCTAATAGGAAGTTTAAATGTCTATTTTTAGAGACATGCAACATGGCTCACACCTATCCCCGGAAGACTCAGACTCGACTCAGACTTGTGATTTTGGGACTCACAAGTCTCAATGGAATTGATCTTCCAAAATTTGGTGTCTCACCCTAACATGCGTCCGAGCAGCCTCCAGTGTTTCTCCAAACAGCATCTCCAACCCTGATCATAGTCTGATTTAATTTGAGATTTAAAATGTTAGTGATTTTGAAGTTGCATGCAGTTTTTTTAAACTGTACAAAACTATGAGACTTTGACTTGACACAGATTTGGACTTGGACTTGTGAGTCAGATCTCATGTGAATCTTTGGCCCAGTTTTCTTATAAATGAAATAAACATGTATTGGATCTATGTTAAAGCATGTAGAACACATCAGTCCATCACATTCACACACCTGTATGAAAGCTCCATGATCTGATTTTTGCTTCAGTGGTTTCAGCTTCTTGGCAGAGGTGCACTGAGGGGTGGGCCGCTCTCGGGTAAACAAAATGCGGCCAACCCTGGATGACCCTGGAGCATGAGGTGCACTGTTTGTAAGGTGCTGGTGCGCTGATGATGATGTGGAGCGTGAAGAACAGGGGGTGAGGGAGCATTGGAGAGCAGGGTTCACTGACGGCGAGCCAAGCTGGCCATCGGAGAACTTGGGGGTGCGCGTCCCGGGGCACACAGAGGGTGTGATGGTGGAGGTCGGGCAGAGAAGTCCTGGGTTGAGATTGGCCTCCTTCACCAGCAGGTTGGCCGTGTCCAGCAGGCCATTGCTCATCAGGTGGTTCCGAATAAGTATGAGCAGTTCTTTCTCTGAGAAGGTGATGCGGGACTGTGCCACCACATTGGCCCTCTGCAGGCGGGACAGCGACACGTCTGAGCCCATCAGGAGGGGCTTCCCTGATATTCTCTCTGTCAGCTCGGCTGCATTCCTGCAGAAACGGACATGCTCACTGTGCTTGTCCTGCAGCACTGGTTCCTTCATCAGCTGCAAGATAAAACAAATAAACTGCTGTTTAGTATCATCACGTTACTGTAAAACAGTGGGTTTGCTACATGTCTCACTATTCCCAGGAATGAGCCGCGACTTGAAAATAACTCGAAAAATTGAATGAGCACAGAAATAACGTTAATAACTCTGCAAAACAGGAAAAAGGAGTATAATATAGCTGTATAATAACAAACACTGCCCCACAAGATTGTTTTCTCAAACAAAAAGGAAAGGTCTAATAATGAAAACATGTCACACACTCACCTGCTGGATTTGCCCACTGGAAAACAGGGGCAGTTTGCTGATAATTTGCCGGACCGCAGAGCTGCGAGAGAGTCCGACCAAAGCTTTGCAGGCGAGTGCTCGAATCAAATCAGCGTCTGTTATGGGGGTTTTTACAGACAGCAGAGAGAGCAGCACCTGAGGGATAGAAGTATTACGTTAAGAATATTCTTGCTCAGTACAAATTGCTTCTTTATGTGCAAGTCATCACAGTGTGTGTATGTTTAGTGAATTCAGAACTGAGAAATTAATTTATCCATCCAATGACTTCTGCTTTATCCACTGCCGGGTCACAAGGGCAGCAGTCTTAGCAGACCTCCCTATCCGCGCACACGTCGTCCAGCTCGTTTGCAGGAATCCCGATGAATTCTCATTCCCTTTTCGGTCCTGGTTTTCCCGAGGCCGCCTTTAGACTGGGCATTGAGGAAGCATCCGTAACAGATGCTCCTGCTCTGGCTCCTCTCGACCTCTCTCTCTCAGGCAGCGCCCAGCCACTCTGCGGAGGACTCCTTTTGACGGCTCGTATCTGTGATCTCATCCTTGCAGTCATTTCACAGAGTGAACCAATCCCTCTGTTAAGGTCACGCTCCATCTTTCCCTCACTCGTGAGTGAGCAAGACACCAAGTTTCACACTACACATCACTCCTCGGCAGAGGAGACTCGAGTCACGCAGCATACACACAGGTGCAGAAGTCTATGGAGAAGTGCAGAGGACTGCTATACAGCAGCAATAACCAGATGTACAGTATGTGTTTGTCCTCATGGCTCTGTGAGCTGGTCTGGTCAGACTCCAGGATCACTGTCGAACCTGCCAGTCTTTCTACTGTTTAAATACAAGTGCTATGGGTGTGTGTAGCTGATTTAGTGCCAAAGACTGTTAACACTAACATGTTTCCCTTGTATTTTGAATGAAAGATTCGCCACTGCACGATAAAAAAATTCACGACTCCTATTTTGGGACGAGCGTGGCTTGGTGCGCAGTGCTCGTCTGCCCCGGCGTGTTAGCATGAGTTGTGTCTGTTCCAAGTTTCCACACATTTGAAATGTGCCTTACGCACGCCACAGCGGGAGTCTTTTTACTTCAATTGACACATGCTGTGAGTAGGGGCCATTGAACTCTTCTCTTCAGTGGCACCTTTTCTGGGGAAGCATGATGGCCTTGAACTGCTTCACACTCAGCTGCAACCCATCCCAGGTCTCCCTTTGTCCCTGGCTGCGTCAAGATACTTTATCCATTCTTGGGTCGCACACAGTCCCTGTATGTGCAAGAAAAGTATTGCATGCAATATACAGTATAAGATATTTTGTACCTTTATTCCATTGTTGTTCTGCACCACTTGCCACATATGAACCAAGATCTTGTTATGAGGGGAGGCAGGGAGCTGAGGAACCGAAGGCCTGAGGGGGCTGATGGGAAATGCTGCAAGAGCATGGGTTTGTTCCGGCGCACACACACAGTTTATAATCACCTGTGAATAACAACATCAGGATTAAGATATTTAAAACATTGCAGAAAAGTTGTATTACTTAAATACCTGCAAGGCAGACTTCTGAATCTCTGCATCATTTACAAACACTTCCCCTTCTGCAACTCCCAAAATAATACTCATGCCTGGAAAAGTTAAGTTTGTTACCAACCATAATGAGGAACAGTTCAAGAGATACACAGGTGTTACTGACCCACAGTGGCCACAGTGGAACCGCCCTCATCTTGGACATCAACAGTGTCAGTGAGCAGCAGCTGCACTTTGGGAACTACCGTCAGGATGCCCAGAAGGTCTAGTGCCCAGCGGACCACATCACTCCTGAAAGGTAAAACAAAGCATTTTCAATATATTCAAGCTGCCTCAGTTAGGGCAAGGGTAACCCCATTTCAGAGTCAATGTATCAGCCATTTGCAATTAAACACACATTCCAGTGTGCACCAGACACAACTACACTTCACAAAACAGTGCAGTCTAGATACACTTACAATAAGTTTCATATTTATGCTTTACACAAACCATGTGAAATCTAATTTTAGTGCAGAACAAAATAGATCTAGGTTAAATCAAAGTTGAAAGAAAAACACAAAATCTCCAGGGAAGGAGCAGGATGAACTATCAGCATGTGCCAGTATGTTAAACAAGGCATCCATCCATCCATCTTCTTCCCCTTAATCCATTTCTGGGTCAGGGGGGTGGCAGTCAGAGGTGCACCCAGTACACAGAGCACCAGCCCCTCACTGATCCTCCTGCAGGTGCTGAGTCCACAGGAGAACACCAGATCCTAAATCTTTCAGCACTGAATCAATTAAGCACAATTAATCAAATAATTAAGTTAATCAATCACCTTGTAAATAATATGTAAAATGGTTCTGACCCACAGATTACTGATACTAGTTAAATGTGAAATAAGCTCTTGATGCTGAACTTAAACAATTGCACATTGTTTTTGCAGCCATACAATAAAGAGATCTATTGCAAAATGATGATGTGGGCAGTCTGTGGTGTGTTGCAGAGCGCTCTAAAGAAGGATCCTCTCATGAGTCGTTCACATCTCTACGAAAGGAAGTGAACTCGGCAAGAATGACATTTCGGGCAACAATAATATTCCAGAGACGTCGACTTCAACTCACCGGCCGTTGTAGTTCCTCCAATCACAGGCTTCAGAGATGAGCTGCAGCATCAGAGGCACACATGACAGTTTGCAGAAGACCTCCACGGGCTCCCAGGGAAGCTGACGTCCGCTTTCTATGAGGAACTCCATCCACTCCACCACCTGCTCTCTGCTGTAGGTGAAGGCCTAGAACCACGCATCCACAAATCAACACCAACTGGATTTTCACTATTGACTGCAGCTTTATCGACAGCATGTTAATAAATACCGCGATACGTTTTCCGATGTGTATTATTAAGATGCCAGCTGTAAAACATCAGAAAACATAAAGAGACTTACTTTGTAAAAGGGCTGCTGAGGAACAGCGTCTGAAGTGTGCTGCTTCACTTGTTCAACCTTTATTGCAAGCTGAGTTTCAAAGTACCTACAAATAAGACAATAATAATTAACTATATAAATACACCTTCATGGACACTCAGTATAAGTTTAAGTACAAAATGAGATCAGGGCATCTTGTATCTGTGACTAAACAATTAAAATAAACAAAAAAGCATTGATTAATTACTGAATATATTTGAATTTGACTTCCAAATAATATGAAAAAAGTGGCTTTTTACAATTAATTTCCTAAAACAATACTTCAAAATATTAAATTTCTACCATTTTTGCTCTGAACCACTAACATGTCATTGGCTGAGGACATTTGAAATGAATAAACCGCTCAGATCACCATTGAGGCTTTAAATATTGCTCTTTTTGTTGATGGCTGTAACATTGACCTGCCATGGGACTTCAGATGAAAACTAAATCTGGAATTTTGACACCGACACATGTTGATTAATGTGCACTGTCCCATTCAAACAAACAAATAAATAAATAATGACAATACAGCTAATTAATTCAAAGCTGCCATTTGTGAGAGCAATGACTGGTTTTAACTTTTAACAATTGTTTCTCTTTAATCCATTTGAAATCGTTTTTAAGAGTAATATCTACTGCAGTCAAGTCAGTCTGCTTTAAGAATAGATGCTGTGGATTTACTTTATTTGAGTAATCACAGAGGAAATATGAATCTGTTTTTAGTTTTTACTGAAATTTTGGACTCTACGGCTCAACAGCGCAAGGTGAAACTCAATATACGATTATACAGTATATATAATGAGAGTAAAAAAACTGCATGTATGATATTTAACCATTAGTGTCAATAATCAGTTATACTTGCGCAGAGCCATAGAAGCCTGTTTGGCCGTTTGCCGACTTGCAAACACTTGGTCGTCCGTCAAAGTCGTTGCATTGCTGGAGTTTAGGATCTCCAGCGTACTGATCTTCAAGGAGAGAGATGATCGTCAATAAAAAAGTGCGGAAAACATGACGTTGTGAATGGCTGCCCCTCGGTACAGACCAGGTTCACGAGACGCCGCAGACCGTCTTTCTGGTCGAAAAGCTGCAGAACGGCGCGGAAGCAGAAGGTGATGGAGAAGAACATGGTGGCGTTGCACACTCCGGACGCATGGGACGACTCCAGCAACCAGAGCGCGTAGGACACCACCTCCGAGAGCACCCCGCCGTGAAGCATGCACACCTGTATCACACAAGGAAAACCATCAGCAAAGGTTTAATTCAACAGGTAATAACAGCTAGAGGACCACCTTGGCAACCACGAAGAAAATACAGACATTCATAAATTCATGTCTACAAAAGATTCTTCAAGCCCGCTGGCCGAACACAATAAACGACCAGGACCAGTGGCGGAAAAGCAATCAACTCTCTGCAGATGACGAGATCCTTAGACGGCACAAGAAATTGATAGGCCACACGCTCCGCAAGCCACGCTCCAACCTAACTAGACAAGCGCTGACCTGGAAACCCCAAGGCAAAAGACAAAGAGCACGGCACCAAGAGGATTGGCTACACGTGGAGACAGCTGGAGCAGAAAGCCCAAGATTGAGAGCCTCGGAGGTTCCCACAAAGTATTAACAGCCTTGAGACAAATTTGGTTAGTTAGTAAATATTTATATTGTGTGGTGACTGTTTGGTGAACTCACACATAAAAGTATTACTGTGAAGGGGCTGGGGTTTCCGGGGATAGCGGATAAGAGTTTGAGTGTTGCCACCTGAGTGTGATTACTGCTGGAGAAATAAAGTTCAGTGAGACTCAGCTCTTCGTCACCCATTTCTACCTCCATAATAGAGCATATCACAGACCAATTTCTCACAAAGCGCTTTACAGTATTGGTGCACTGTAAATCTCATATCTCTTTAGTTTGTATGCACACCCTGAGTGATTCTAATTATGGCAAACATGACATGTAAATGTCTGCATTGTGAGATCAATAGTTTATCATATCTTATAGCAAAGGAAGTTTTCACAGATGATGTTTGAGAAACCTTCCTTTGCTTTGACTAATCCCTGTATGACTGAGAGCTTACACAAACTGATCTTATAGCGTATAGCGTTTCCATACCCTCTCCATAGCGTCCTGGTTGTATGCCAGATAGTAGAGACATAGGGAGACTCCGGTCGCTGCCATTGAGGGCCGTGGGATGTCCAGCAGTTTCTGGATGCCTCCATGAAGGATAAACTCGCCTGCAAACTTCTTATATTGCAAAAGAGAGGAAAGGAACTGGGAGAGAGAAAAAAAAAAAGACACGTGTTGATATTAAGAACACACTTTCATTTAAAATCACTCCACATCATTTTAAGCGTGTAACGTCTATCAATTACCATGGCATTTTTTCCCCCAAATACAGAACTCAACTACCAGTAATTTAAAAACGGTTGGCAACGAATGTGTAATTTTTCTATAATATTATTTTATTGTTCAAAAGCACCACAGCTATTGTAGATCTGAAAGTCAATGGTGCAGGTTATACAAATTTTGTATAGTCTAAGCAATGTCAAAAAAATTAACACATACATAAACAAAACAAAAGCGCAAATCTAAAAGAAAACCACACCCTTAAAGTTTATCCTTCTTTCACAGACACAGTTTGTGGGAGTGGTTAAATGAAACCTCTGATAAACGTGGCAAAACCTGACTACAAGGTATGAAGAATGCTGTTTAATAAACAAATACATTACTAGACTTATTATTATTATTATTATTATTATTATTATTAAGTGATAATAAATACATGTATTTTAATTAAACGTAACTGAATGAATTGTGTGATAACTGTACCAGCAGAGCGTCAAAGGTGAGCTGCACATTCTTAGTCTGTCTGAGGTCGATGTAGTTCATGAGTAACGTCCGTATTTCCATCTGCATGAAGACGGCCATCAACTGTTGGCAAACGGGAGACTTCCATTATGTGTTTGTATTAGGATTATAAAAAAATACTTCCCAGTTTGGTAAAACAATTTAAAACACTTGAGGTATGACTTTTGCTACAGACATGCTAGAATACATGTCTTTCATCCATCTATCGCCATTTCTAAAACACAACCTAACTTTTGATCTGGTATGTATGGGACATAATCTTCTATGTCTGAAGAAGAGCAAGAAGTGGTTATTGTCCCAGTGAAAGTAACCAAGTAAGTAATCTTTATTTATATACCGCCTTTCACAGACCAGAGTCACAAAGGTAAACGTCATGACCAAAGTCATGTGCAGACTCCAAAAGCTTTTAAGATTATCGTGTAGTTTGCTTCCACCCCCAGGTTTGACAGTGAGAATGGTAAGTGTTAGTTTTCCACATCGAATATACAAATAACTATAATATGAAATAGAAAAATGAGAACAAGAGGTCATTCCTATCGATAAGTTAATCAAGAATCTCACTACAATGTAAATACAAAAGTAATGTTGTAGTTAAAAGACAGTGCAGTTAAAGGTTGTGTGTGCCTTAGGGCTGGGCAATTAGACAAAAATATATATCTTGATACATATTTTTTTTATCTTGATCAACAACATAAAACAATATTATTTTTGTCTTTAACTGTGTATAAAGTTTACAGCCTCTGGCTGACGATAAAAGGTGCCATGTCACCGCTGCACTCTGAGGCTGCTGCACCCCCTTCTGTCAAATGCTACACTTTGTTCCCTTCAAGCATGTTTACATCTTTGCTGCTAGCTAAGCGGTGCGGCTGCTGTGTTCAATGAAACACACGCAAGGGAGGGGCCGAGGGGGAGCAACAGGAGGGGGGGGGGCGAGCACTATTATCGCCTACAATAATTATCACCCACCCCCAGTGATGGGAATAACGGCGTTACTTTTATCAGTAACGAGTAATCTAACTAATTACTTTGACTGTAACTATAACGCCGTTATTATTTCCGACATCCCGTTACTATGCGTTACTCAAGACGCACAATGAACTTCTCTTTTTACTTCGTGATAGGACTCGTGCGTGTGTCATGAGAAAAGGGAGGATGAGAAAACCTCTCAGCAATTATTGGCTGATGTAAAACATATTTCCTCTACAATCCACATGTCTACAGTTGAGAGGATTGCTCATAAATGTGTTTTTGAAACAAATATGGGTCTTAATCACGCTCAACCACGGCTTGTATCACCGTGAGGCCAGCCTCAGAGGAGCGCATGTGAGCGCAGAAGTCGGCTGCATACAATTCCATCAGAAAGCTCCTTTCTCTTCCTGGTTTATCTGCTAAGGACAGCAACAGGTTTGGCTAACATACATGTAACACATTTTAAGATAATTTAAAATGCACTTATGGTAATTTTTCAATGACTATAGGAATGATAAGAAAGAGAGGTGAAGTGTAAGACGGTTGATTTTAGAAATTGGATGCACCCGGCTGCAGCAAAACAGAGGAGTTTACGGACGAGACACGCATTTTGTTTTACTTTTTAAAACTCATTTCCAAATGGAGGATTACACATCTACGCTCAAACTATTATCTGGACTTAAACACAGAACTGGTCTGAACTGAAGTGGTCTGTGCAGGTCATTTATAAGGTAAGACCCATAACTCATAGTTTTGCGTTTTGTATGAACAAATAATGCATGAAACATATTCTGCTGTAGACAAACAAATTGTCCACTTGATTTATATGATATATATGTTCATCTGATTGGGCTGAAGTCAGTGCTTCACCGGTGTTTCCACATTCACAGTGGAGCGTGTTGTGTTTAGTGCTTACAGCACAGAGAGAGATGAAGAGTGAACAGGACTTCAGCAGCAAAACAGACTTTTCTAGATGGAAATATTGGCAATATTTCAGACTCACTGAGGTTAAAGGTAAAAACGCGCACGTCGAGTGCACATTATATTCCAGAAAAAAACGACAAAGTAACGCAATAGTCACTTTTACTGGTAACTAGTTACTTTTATAGTGGAGTAACTCCGTTAGTAACTCAGTTACTTTTCAGGAGAAGTAACTAGTAACTATAACTAATTACTTTTTCAAAGTAACGTGTCCAACACTGCCCACCCCAAATGAAACTATAACGGTAGTTTACAGTCAGCCTCTTTGTGCTCCTTTGAGCGGCTTGTGTTTTACCTCTTGATAGTCACCGATCGGGGTCAGATACTGCAGGATCAGTCTCTGCTCCATTGCGGGGGTCAAAGGAGACAGGCTGTACTCTGAGCCGATGACCACGGAGCTCATTTCGGACCAGGAAGCCCCATTGTTGGGCTGCTCTGTCACATGCCGTCCCCACGTCTCCTCATTTTGCACGGTTGAGGTGTAGTTCAGCTTCTGCTTGGCCTTCCTCCCGTTTTCTTTGACCTCTTCCTTCTCCGTTGCAGGCTGGTCCACGCGGTCTGGACTCGCCAGCTGACTGCAGTCTGGAGCTGATTGGCCTGAATTTGTGCCATTTTTCTGAGGTGAACTGTTGATGGTATTAACATTTTTGCTGTTTTCCTCTTTCACAGCTGGAGTCTGGTGTGAGGAGCTCTGAGAGTCTTGAAGTAGATCACTAGATGGTATTTGACTGTCGGCGGCTTCTTTCTGTAGTTTACAGAGTCTGCTGATCATGAGCGGTACCTTGGGGTTTGATAACACACACACACACACACACACAAAGGAAGGGTTAAAACACAAATACTGGAATAATTGAGAGCTGGCCTTTTAATTATTTTCTCATTAACAACAAATATATTGTAATTAATAATGATATTTGTTCAGAGTATGCTTAATTTACTTACTTTCCTATGGTACATATTACCAATTAAAAAAATCCTTATGGTTAATCTGATTTTGACAGATTAAATAGTATGATTACGATTGTAAGGTTTATTTCGTTATTTTGAAATTACTATAATTTGTAATACACCATGTACGTACTTAGTGAGCATGTTTGGTCTATTTTTAATATAATGTAGATTTCAGACAGAGCTTCATGCATCCTTAGAATATTAAAGAACATGAATGACGTTGAACTATATCTAAACATAAGACATCAGGGATATGAGATAAGATAATAATAATAATAATAATGCATCGGTTTTATATAGCGCTTTTCTGGACACTCAAAGACGCTTCACATGTCATTATTCATTCACTCCAAACACGGTGGTGATAAACTACTACTGTAGCCACAGCTGCCCTGGGGCACACTGACAGAAGCGTCTGTGCCATCGGCCCCTCCGACCACCACCAACCATTCACACACACACACCAGACTCATTCTAGGCAATGGGGGCGTAGTGTCTTGCCTAAGGACACAACGGCAGTTTGGCACTTTACAGCCGCAGCCGCCCCACTGTGGCTGATGTTCCCAGAGGTTAAGTGTCTTGCCAAGGACACAACGACAGCAGGAGTTGATGGTGAAAGTCTTGAGCGGGGCTTGAACCCACGACCTTCTGGCTCAAAGGCCAAAGCTCTACCAACTGAGCTACTGCCTAAAGACATTCTTTTACATTTCTGTCATCCCAGTCCTACCAGCTGAGCGTTCTCCTCTTTAAAAGTGGCCGTCACATCTTGGTTGCTCAGCATGGCTCGGCCCAGAAGTCCAACGGCATAGACGCACAGGGGCCTCTCAGCTTCACGGGCCCATGTGAAGAATTTAGCGATCAGTCCCTCCTGTCAAACACATTAAATATACAGTTGAAACCAGAATCTATTCTCCCAATGCCATAATATTGAGACAAGCCCTGAGATAATTATTTGAGCTTTCCCATTTCATTGAAGTAAATGTGTGTATGTAAACTTCTGATTGAATAGAAAGTAATAAAATGTGTTAAAAAATTGTTACGGAGCTAAATATTATGAAGACACCTTGATCTAGAACAGAAGAACCTGTGTCCGATGTGACTTCCGTCTTTAATTGGTTAGACTTTTTATCTGAAAGGATATTTGTCAGCAGACTAAAAGCACATTTATAATGAACTGTACCTTCTCTTGAAACACACCACTGGTCTCTAAACCAGGAAGAATGTTATGAAGAAAGCGACACGCTGCTGTGTTGAGGCTGAGCTCTGTACTGGTCAAAATGTATGTGTCCAATACCTGAAAAACAGTGCACATAGAGGGTAGAAATATCACTTAGCGGCATAAATAATGTCCTTTATCAGCTCAGAAAAGCAAATCATCCCTCAACCCAAAGGATGTCAAATTTTAAACATTCTATTTTGATTACTGTTCCAGCTTCTGCCAACTCCCCTTTGTGGCTATTGTTTTTTTCTGTGCTTCTCTTTTGTATGATTGATTTTGTATCTTCTAGATGTCCAAATAAACACACAGTAATAACAACAGTCTCTCTTGATGCCAGAATCAGAAACTCTTGGACTCACCTTCAATTATTATTCTATTATAGTATAGATTATTCTGTCATTTTTGTAGTCTAAACTGAAATTACTGGAATGATTCATGAATGAAGATTTTAGTAGGAAAATAGGTAATACAAGTGACTTACAGCATTAGTCAAATCCCCAATCATGAGGACAGCCTTCAGCAGTCGCCCCAACATGCAGTTTGGATATGCTCGCCCTGTGGAATTATTACACCCAGTAAAAATAGTGATGTAATTTGGCAAATGTGACTTTAGAAATTTGGCCAAAACCTGGATGTCGGTCATCAAATGGGTCAGGGTCTCCTTTGCAATACTCTCTTGTCTCTTGTTCAATAATTTCCGACATTCTGTGGAATTTTAATGACAGTAGTAAGAACATATTCCATACAGTGCGTTGTGGTATTGATCAAATGGGCACTAACTGGTCGAGTGTGGAGACCAGGTCCTCAGTAGAGCCGTTCTGGTTGTCCTCCCAGTGGTCGATTAACCTATCGAGCTCAGCCCTGGATGAAGACACGGGTCTGGTTGAATCTGAAGACAGTACGGCATCAACGGCCTCTGCAACCTCCCTGTCTGAGACCGCCATGGCTGCCTAAAGATAAGGAAGAAGATATGTAAAACCATGGAGAGATCCTCAACCCCAGAGCAAGGCTGCAGTTTTTTTTACTCGGCTCAACTCAGCTAACAGTCATGATGATAGTATTAAAGTAGATAACCGAAGTCTAATAAATGCAACAGCACAATAGATAAATTATTTTTGTTGGTAATTATAACTATTATGATTTTTTTCTGCAGGTAACAACGACACAATAGTTAAAGGTATATAGGAGGATGTTCTTCTGGGTGGAACATCAAAAGTATTGGTCCTCCTAATTGTCAATAATTCTGCTGATACGTGCTAAACAATTAATACCAGAGAGCTTTGTTAAAAAAGTGGAAAGGGCGCCTCTTTCCTAATAATTTGGAAAATCCCCAAATGATACATCTTTAACTGTTATTGAATGAGTGTGTGTGTGAATGGTTGGTGGTGGTCGAAAGGGCCGATGGCGCATACTGGTTGCCTCGCTTCTGTCCCCCAGGGCAGATGTGAAGCGTCTTTGAGTCTCCAGAAAAGCGCTACATAAAACCAATGCCGTATTTTTATTATTAATAGTTAATTAATACCCATTAACAGAAAAAGTACGACAATGTTCGAATAAATAATATTACAATAAAAACACATATGCAGAGCGGTTATGAAAATAATATTTGCAGTATGCAGTGTTTTACTTTATATCATTGATGTAAGTCACAAAACCACGAACTAGCATCCTCACCAAAGCCAAGCCAAGACTCACCGCGATCCGCTCACTTTCTCTGAAAGAGTTCCGCTCACGAACTCTCTCATGATTCATTTTAATGTGATTTTATGGAGAAAGGACTTCTGTTGTGGGGCAGACATGTGCAGCCAAGTACACCACAGCTTTCAGAGAGGACATTGTTGAGGTTACTGTAGCTTCTGTTAACTGATCTTAACCAGGCGAGGACTTTTGGGAGGATCTCAGTCTACGTGTTGGAGATAAAGAGGTTCCTGAGCTGCAGCAGCAGCAGCAGCAGCGTGTTGACAGCTGCCGCATGTCACTCTCCTGCGGCTAACTCTGCTGCTAAAGTCCCTTTACTCACCTCTGAATGACTTTCCGTCCTCCCCAAAGCCTTCCTATGTTTGAGGTTTGCAGAAAATCAATTTGTGTTTTCGAAAATAAATGCTTAAATACATGAAAATCGGTAGTAAACGTAGCAGTTCGAAAAGTTTCACGTTTATTTTCAAACTTCTCTCGGCGGCAGGGGATGACGTCACGGTTTGCTGGTCGCTAGTTGATGACGAATTTTACAACGCCTCGTGGGAGTTGTGGTTCTGTAACAAATGATACATACATGAATGTAAACATACACTTTGCAAAACTTAAATTTTTTCAGACCCCCAAAAGAATTGTATCAATTTTTTAATATAATTTGTATGTATTTATATTATGACATAGGTCCAGTAAATACTTCTAAAAACCGATTGTCAATTAGTCTGAAGAAAGCTTGAAAAAAAATTAGCCAATGCAATGGGGTGGCCCAAAACCACTATAATATATAATAATTTAAATATCAATCAATCAATCAACGTTTATTTATAGAGCGCCTTTCCTACACAAGGCAACGCAAAGCGCCTCACAACCCATATAACATCATGCATAAATCATCAAACATTAGAATTTAAGTAAACATAAAAAGACAGATTAAGAGCACAAGATATATAAAATCACACAAGTAGTTAAAAACCGTAAAACATTAAAATCACACAAGGGATTACAATCATAAATAATCATAAATAATCATAGCGCATTAAAAAGATTAAAGATAAAAACAAATATAAAATCATTCACTTGTATGCACAGCTAAAAAGAACTGTTTTCAGTTCAGTTTTAAAAACTGCTAGAGTAGACGCCTGTCTCACACTCTCGGGAAGACGGTTCCAGACTCTAGCTGCATGAATCTGAAACGCAGCCTCCCCATGTCTAGTTCCGACTCTTGGCACTAACAGAAGTCCAGTCCCTGTGCTCCTCAGAGCCCGAGTTGGTTCATATGGCACCAACATGGTGCGGATGTACCCTGGTGCGAGGCCATGGAGAGACTTGTACACAAGTAAAGCTACTTTAAAATCTATTCTCTGAGCCACAGGAAGCCAGTGCAGAGACCTGAGGACCGGACTAATGTGGTCGTACTTCCTGGTTCTAGTCAGGACTCGAGCTGCAGCATTTTGGATGTACTGCAGCTGTTTTACCGCTTGTTTAGAGAGACCTGTGAACAAGCCATTGCAGTAGTCCAATTGACTGGAGACAAATGCGTGGATAAGAATCTCCAAGTCTGCTTTAGACACAATGTTCCTAATTTTAGCAATGTTTCTTAGGTGGAAGTAAGCTGATGATGTCACAGATGATATGTGGCTATTGAAATTTAAGTCTGAGTCCATTATTACTCCTAGATTTCTGACCTGAGTTGAGGGTTTTAGGGAGAGAGACTGGAGGTGGCAGATAACGCTCTCTCTTTGTTTTTGAGGTCCGAAAACAATAATTTCAGTTTTTACTGTGTTTAGCTGGAGAAAGTTATTTTGCATCCAATCACTGATTTGTTGGATACAGTGAAGGAGCGAGTCCACTGGTCCATGTTCTCCTGCTGTCAGGGACACATAGACCTGAGTATCGTCAGCATAATTGTGATAGGACACGTTATTACTGTGTATTAACCTACCCAGAGGCAGCATGTAAATATTAAACAGGAGAGGCCCCAGGATTGATATGTGCACAATAAGAAGATAAATAGATCAAAGATGACCCATGACCTTTTCAACATGTTTGCACATTTCCTGTATTTTCTTAATTGAGAGATCAATAAAGTTTCTCATCATACCCATCATTTAATATATTTAACCATTAATTCCACACCAGTAAAAAGCTGAGGCCTCAAGGGCAGTGCAGTAATCCTGAGAAAAAAAATCTAACCCTAACCCAACTAAACCGGACAAGTGAATGACACAATATTTAAAACAAGTACAAATTGTTTATTTACATTTTTTAACAAAGTGCACTTTAAGTTTGATGATCGTTCTAGAAAAGTAAATATTTTACAACCATAAGCAAAAGCTGCCAGCAAGGTCCTATATTTCATTTGAACAGTTCCACACATTGTTCCAGAGATCAACGCTGAAGCCTCCTTTTACGAAATTATGTTCAGAACTATGTCACTAAAAATAACCCATGTAAAGCAGATGGACATAAAAAAACGGGTGTTATATGAAAAAAGTGGATTTCCCCAGTCGACAATTACAACTTTTTCCACAGTAAAATTGACTATGCAACAAAGTATATTATATTGACCAAGAAATACATACAAAATAGTTTTTTTATGGTCTTCCTTACAAGTTAGTGAGTTTTTATTTTGTCTCCAAACAATGTCATGACGAGTCCGTAGAGAAAGAGCCCACTGACTATGAGCAGAGTGCAAGACCCTGGTCCGAATGAGAGCAGGGCCCCGAACACGTAGAGCAGCATGAGCATGAGCAGTGTCCTGTAGCTTGCGAGTGGGCGAAGGCTCAGTCTGGGATAGCGTGGTCTGTTCAGAGTCCGCTGGGTGAGAGGACTGTGCCTTAATCTGGTAAAGGTTTGAGTTTCAGTAAAATAGTGGCGACCCAAGCGACCGAGAAAGTCTGGTCGCGAGCAGAGGGCATTCATGTGGGCTCCAAACTGCAGACATAAACAATGAAATAAGATTAAATAAGTTCAATAATCAGCGTAAAGTGAACACAGAACACCAAAAGAGTTCTATTTTGGCCACAGTAACAATAAAATATAATATAAATAATTAAAAAATGAATAGGTCTGAATATGTTTAGGAATGTTGTAATGTATTATTCTCTGGTTGCTTGTCACATGAAAGCAATAAAATATCACAAAATATTGTCTCATTAAAAGTGACCACTGAAATGTATTTATGTAACGGCAATTTTCTTTTCTTTAGTCTCATCATCTTTAGTCTGCTTGATGTTTATTTATTTTGTATGATTATGGTTTTGTTCTTTGGTTTATTAATTATATTCTGAAATTGTACATATTCACCCACCCTGTTATTGATGGCTGTGGAGAGCTTGTAGAAGAGGCGGACCAAAGCTGCATTTTCATAACTCCTGATGGGTTGCAGCTCCGGATCTCCTTGATACTGAATGTCGAATCTTCGCAGGCCATTTATAATCTGTGAACAATCAGGATTTGTTTCAACCATCGATAAATAGTCAAAACATGTTTATGCCACATGTTAATTGAAAGAGAGTAATAGCTCACCTGCATCCGTCCCACATCAGTCAGGATGAGACCATTCTCTCCTTGAATACAGTCCGGCAGCTGGTTGAGGTTGGCCTCCTCCTCAGATGAACCCAGGTTTGAGAACAACTGGGTCAACTGCCCTTGGCTCAACTGTCAGTTTAAATTGTGAATGGTAAGTACATGTTGATGGTTAAGTAGAAGTCACTTAAAGCCTTTAATGTTCACTCCTTGAAGAAAGCAATGTATATTTGTTGGGGGGGAGCTTTCTAAGATATAGGACACAAACTACACTAATAATGTATTGTTTAGGTTGTTTAAACCCCTAGTTTTTTTTAAATTATAGGTCTTTACCAAATGGTTGAGATGCAATTGGTGGTAAAAATGTCTAAAACAAGTGAGATGCCCCAAAGAGGTAGATTTCAGTTCCAAGCTTAAAGTACTGTAGATATAGTGACTCAAAAAGTGATCTACCAAATGGTTGAGGAGAGCATTAAAGGGTCGACGTGAAGACACACTCTTACCTTAAATATCAAAGAAAGGTACTCCAAAGCCTTATCCAGGAGGTCGTGAGTCTTCTTTAGGCATTCTTCGCTAACCTCTGGTTCTGCTCCGTTAAACATATTGTTCTGTTCAGGAGCGCCCAGACCAAACCAGGACAGGAACGAGTTGTTAGCAGCCATCTCGCTGGAGTGGTCAGATATCCTTTTGGCCGTCTGCCGGGCCTGCGCGATCAGCTGGATGAGCTTCATTACCTGAAACACGTGTTGTTGAACCATTTTAGGAATAATCACCCCAGAGATTTGATGCTCATGGATGAGAGAATTCAAAATAAAATACATGGACATTTAAGAAAACCAAAAATGACTAGGATAAGAAATCAGTCACAGAAAAAACATCTTTTCAGATCTAAGTACAAGTCCAAAAACAACATGAAGACAAGAAAAGGGGAAAAAAGAGGGTCCCCTAGTGGACAAAACGCACACACATATTTACACTAGAAGCCAAAAAAGAATCCAACCCAAGGCAGTGAAGGGTGGTTTTTTTCCTTCACCTTTTCTACAAACTAGTTTTTACTTCTTCACTTGAATCTTATGGTCAGTCATGTGACTGTCATGTGATCGATGGCTCATTATTACCACCTTTGATCGACTTGACATTACTTGCCTTGATGAAGACCAGTGAGTGGTCGAAACACGTCGCTAAGTCCCTTCGGCCTTTTCCTTTTTGCTAGATATATTTCCCAAGGATCCCTGAAGAGCACCCAACTTCTCACATTCACAGTAAATTATACTTTTTGATCCCTGTTTTGAACTAAAACATTTTTAGTAACCAACTCCAGCCATCTCCCCTCACTTAGGAGAGTACCATTTAAATATAATAAAAAGTAACAACTTACGGCTCCTCTGAGTTCAGTCCCAAACATCTGCTTGTACTGGCAGTCCTGGCCCTCTAAGGAGTAGACGTGGCTCTTCACCTTGAACACAGTGTCAGTTACCACTCTTTGGCGAGAGGACAAGAAACTGCCTCCTTGACTTGGTGTGAGGTATCCACGGGGCTGCCGATGGTGAAGGACGTGCTCCGGCTCCAGAAAAAACTGCTCTCCTGCAGGAAAACCAGTGACGTCATCAGTTTGTAAGGTGTGTAAAAAGTGCAATACATTTACTACTTTAGACTTGATTCTTAGTATGTCAAAAGATAGAGATTTTATACTTCTTATGATAAAGTCAGAGTTTTTTTGTACTCGTTATAGTAAAGATAGATTGTTCAGTTGTTTCTTCTTCAGGTTAGAGTTACATTTGTATTTTATATTATTTAGTATAGAGTTATTATCCATTTATCTTGTGCTGTGTGCTTCTCTTCTGTAACTGCTGATGCAACACTGACATTTCCCCACTGGGACAAATTAATGACCTTTTAATCTTAATACAAGTACTTTGGAAAATCAATTATTCACCGTTAATGTCAAAAAGAGTTTTAAAACTAAAATACCTCTTTAGAAGTTAAGTGAAGTGTGTTTGTTTTTGGAACTGACTGAATAATAATAAGTGGCGGATGGTAAACAATGATGTTTACGTCTGGTTTAGCAGTAGCATCAGGACATGCAGCGTTACCTTTCTGGATCATGTCAGGGAGACCGGGTTGGGAGAAGACTTTGGCCACTCGAAACACCATCAGGGCATTTTGGGCATTGACTAGATCAGTTCTTAAGGCCCGGTTTAGAAACACCTGGAAGAGCTTAGTGTACACCAGAAGGTTCTCCTGGACAAAAGACTCCCTGAAAACAACAACAGATGTTTACAGACTCAGAAAGCTCCGTTTGTTGATTAATTTTAATCCTTAGAGACTTGTTGTGAAATGAAGACAGAGGCAGCAGAGATTGCACCACGGAGCAAAAGGAGAACGGGACTTATATACGATTTCTAACAATGTGCATTTGAACACACACACTTGAGATACAAATGACTCCATCCATCTTCTTCCCCTTAATCCATTACTTACTTAATTCACGGAGCACCTGCCTCCAGCATAAATGACTCATGCTTAAGATATAAATACACTAGTAACAATGTGGTCACAACAAATTAACATCATTGTCTGAAGAACTGAACTTATCAGTGATACAGATATAACAGGGGTCCATAGTATAAAATATGGGTCAGATTCCATAGTTTGATTGAAATTAAACCTGAAAAACCCAAAACAGAGGATAAACTCACCATTTCTCAGGCACAGTCCTAGTTTGGTCTGTTGGAGTGGGAATCTTCTCCCCCGTGTATCTCCAAGGCTGTACATAACTCAGCCAAGTCTCCAAAATCTAGAAGAAAATCCACTTCAGCAAATTGAAGCAATACCATTTTTCTACAAAACCTATATTTTCCACATTTTTATGAAACTATAATGGAGCAATAGTGAGTTTTATTTATTTTCATTCCTGGCCCAAAAGAGAAGCTGCTATATATAAGAATATATATATATATATATATTGCATTTGTCCACTTGCTCCTGGTGCAATTGTCGTTTTCTGTTGGCTCCAGAAACGTTTTTTCATCTAAACACACAAGTTTGAGTAAACGGCAGAGTGTCATTGGCCGAGCAAAGTGAACGACATCACTTTCGACCAATCAGAAGCAGTTCGTGGTTCATAAATACTTTCCTCTCTGATTGGTTTGTGAAGACATCTAAAAAAAAATGTGCAAATCATATTTTTACTACGATGATCGTAACAGCACGGGTGACAAGTACTCGGAATTTATCAACTCAAAACTTTATTGTCCCCAAAGGGAAATTGCATGTGGTGGAGCAAGAAAATAAATACTAACAATACAATAGAATAATTACAGTCATCTTAGTGAGTATGGCACATATCAGGGAAAACAGACAAGATGGACCAAGATGTACACTATATTTTGATAATTTTGTAGATGAAATAACACAACATTCATTATCAGCCTTGATTTTTTGTGGTAATTTAATTGTTAGTTGACTGGTAATAAGTTAATTTTGCAAATCGAAAGGCACTTTTCCAAAACTTGCATTGAACTCTCTGAACACCATCTGTAAATCTTGGTTTGACTTTGTAACCTTTAGTTTGAAGTTATACATTATAGCTATATTCTCTCTGCGGAGTTTGCATGTTCTCCCCACGTCTGCGTAGAGTTTCCTCCAGGTACTCCAGGTTCCCCTACCCCTAAACACATGTACAATAGGTCTGGCATGCCCCTCCCACACAGACTCTGGACAGTGAAAGGCGTTATATAAATAAATATATATCCTTCCTTCCATCTATATTGGTTTTGCACTCTGCTTTGTTACTTACTGCTCTGAAGGATGCATCTAGAGGCCAGTGCCCGAAACAATGCTGAAGAAACAAGTAGAGCTTCTGCTGCACAAAACGCTGCACTACCACCCTGTCAGGTCACAGAAGTAAAAACGCAGGTTAAAAAAACACAGTATCTAAGGTGAAATATTGAAAAGCGCTTGTGATGGTGACCTTTTGAATTCCTCCAGAGGGCTGGGGTGAGTGTGGGAGTGGGCAGGAGGGGAGGACGTCAGCTGCTCAGGCTTCAGGCTGTTTGAGAAGGCGTGGAGATGTTTGACCAGGAGCCTCACCACCAACACGTGCTCCTCTGAGGGACTGAAGGGCTCCTGCGGGTGAGACCAGCCACACAGCGCCCCCGGAGTACAGTTCAGAAATCGCAGCCACAGAACTACATTTGACTCAAGCAGCCACTGATGAAGCTTCCCATTCCAATAAGCAGCCAAACTAACATGAGAAGCTTAAAAAAGGTCAGAGCAACAATGTCCCTGGCAAAATGATAGCCACAATCAGAAGAATGATGCGACAATACCATCGATACCTAAACACTATTAGTTAAACAGTTTTCTCAAAAGGCTTCTTCAGAAATTTTAAATAAATTATGGCTTTTACTGAAACATTGTTGCTCCTCTTCAAATAGTACTATGAGAAGTACAGCCTGGAAATGCCAGCCGCTTTTGTTCCATTGTGCATATCTGTCATTTTAGATCCAACAAAAGTGTGCAATTTCAAAGAAAGCAACACATTCTTGTGAATTTCATGCAAGAGACAATAAATAAGTCACAGTCACACAAGTAGCTTAAGTACAGAAGCACAACAGTTAAGAGCATGCCTTTGAATCTCAAACATTTGGAAATTACCACAGCAAAACCCATAGCGAACCTCCTCAAAGCTTCATTCCAGCATTAGACATTCACACAAGAATACTTCTCAATAAGTACGGCCAGAAATAAATGTTTGTGAAAGATGTTTCAATGTGATATTTTGTTTTTACTACTCATAAATGCGAGGCAACAGACCTACATGTATCCTTCATTATCACATGCATTAAGTGAAAGATTGTGTCGATTTCACTTTTTCTTGCGTCCATGACCTGCAGTGCTACTGAGAAGTATCCTTGAGGGTGAGCTAGAGACACACGGTTTACCTCCAGGAGGCCCCAGAGGGGCGGGGGTGAATGAAAAGGTAATAGTACTTGGTAGGTGTGGAGGGTCCCAGAGCCTGGTGGCGCGTGGGGTTGGCACGGCATGCTGGACATACTGAGGCGGTACTGCAGCAGGGCCAGCTGTTCACGCAAACCCACCAGGAGGGAGACAGTGGAAGGACCAGTGGGGAAGAGGGGTGAGGAAGAGTGGAGGAGCAACAGTGTGGAAGAGGATCAGTGGAAAATCAGAAGAAACAAGGGCACCAGAGGGAGTGCACAAACGGGAAGAACAGACAACAGGGAGGGGACAAAACAGAAGAGTGACTGTGGGAACAGGACACTTCACTGTAGGGACAGATCTGTCACAGCTCCAGGGGCAGGATTCATCTACCTCTTACTAAAGGGGACGCTGACTCAACTACTTCACCTTTTTCTTGGGTATAAATCCAATTAAGGAGCGCATCAAATTCAAAAAAAGATTATACAGAAATAAGTTAAAATAGTTTAGGAAGGTTCATCTCGTCTTCTGAGTAGATCTAATTGGCTGGTTTAGAAGAACCAAATAACAAGTTTAAATAGTATAGATTATTGTATTACAGACTAATACTGTGCTCCTTCACAGCACTAATTCTACATCTACTGCATATACATTATTCATCTTCTGTTAACCCTCTTTTTTTAGGGTTTTCTAAAATGCAGTATGAACACAAAAGACATGTCAGCCACATAAAACATTTAAAAACAACTTTGCATGCAGGATAAAGGAGGTAAATTACAACGAACATGCAATAAGGCGAAGTAGAACTATTACAACATACAGTCTATGTTGTAGCGTTAGATTCATCACACTTGGACATGCAATGAATTAATAAATGTAAGCAGAGCACACAACTTAAATCAAACAAAAAATATCACATGGGAACAGACATTAATGATACAGTCTGATGTCCATTCACTCTGTAAAAGCCACGTCTATGCTGTATGCTTACCACTGCAAACCATCTGATGGGAAACCTCATTCTAATATGTAGACTGACTAGCACCAGATGTTCAGAGCCATCAGAGGCTAAAACAGGACCGTGCACCAGACATTTAGTTTTTGTTTTACAATATTTAAATAATTCAATATATATTTTGGTTGATTTTTTTAATACTTTTTTACGATAACCACAACTCCATTGCTAGGCTGTAAAACAAAACAAAAACAGGTGTACCGGTGCACCGAGGCTTTAGCTAAGTGGATCTGGAGCCCCGAATCTCCTCTCAGGGTGAAAACACTTCCTAACAGCAACACAAAAGCAAGGCCCACATAACAAAAATTGACCTAATAATGTTTGCTTAGGCACTGGTGAAAACAGTCACCAAATAAGCTTTGGTCAAAGGAAATCGTGGACAGCCACCTATGATTCAGCGATATATAACTGAAATGAAAATATAAGTAAAAACTACAAAGCAAAGAACAGTGGTCTCTGGAGAAGCAAAAGGTGGTGCTGATTTAAAGGTGTTTCGGGGTGAATGGGGTGTCCAGCCACAGCCAGCCATGTGCGGCTACAGTAGTGCAGGGTGGGAGGTGGGGGAGGGGGGTGGTGGGCACATATGCTGCACATACCTTAACCTGTGGTGACTGAAGCTTCTGGTACATTTCCAAAGAGTAGTGATGCAGCCAAACCTCCACAAACATCTGGGAGAAGAACAACTGCATTAGCGGCATGTTGAAGTCACAGCCATGTTAGTTATAAAAAACATTTACATAATAACTCTCAACATTCAAAATACGACAAATTATGCTTTTCCCTTTGTATCTCATGTCTAAATCAATCAAACACTTTGCCTTGCATTTACACAGCTTGTGTATAGAGCTGTCCTCCAACCTGCAGCAGCGCCTCGGTCCTCCAGATTTCCTGAGCGGCTGGATCTGCGTTGACTGTGGGTTGGTGGAAAATGTGGTGTTTGAGGAGACTCGGACTGTGGACTCCATAACCCGACAGAGACACAGCAGAAGAGCGGCTGAAACCAAGATCAAAAAATGTGAGTAGTACATATACTTTAGACCATCCTTTTTCAACGTGTGCTGCAATAATTTGGAATGTTAATGTTATTTTGTCATGCTTATCAACATTTAAAATTAGATTATCTGAGATCAGGGTTTTGGAAGAGAATCATTTCAAATATATTCAGTTACTGAAAACACATACTTGAATCAAAATGTATGTTGTATATGTATATCATTCATGGTTGAACCAGACAAGTGTAGTCTGAGTGTGTTCACTGTTATTTGCATATTATAGGGTACAAAATGTGTTTGCTTTATTCCTGTACTTTTAACCTTGTCGTGTGCACACTGGGGACTTTTGCAAATGTAATGCAATGTGGTTTTACTGTAAATGGCAAATAAAATGAATCTGAATCTGGTGGAAAAAGCATAGACATACAACACAAATGAATACCTTGGGGACGGAGCAGTGACTGAACCCCTGGAGTCTGAAAAGGGAGAAGGAGGGACGTTTCCTTCACTGGGCAGAAAATACTTGAGATAAGAGTCGACCAACACAAAGTAGGCTGTGTCTGCCGTGGTCCAGTGGTGGCCTGGAGGAAACATCTACAGACAGGACCATTTTTAGTGCACTAATAACCATTTTAAACTCTTCTACAAGTCAGATCAGTCAGCTCACCTTTGGCTTGAGGAGACAGTACGCAAAATTAAACATGAAGTATTCAAAAGGATCTGACAAACATTAAGGACAAAATGACGTAAAACAATTATAAAAACAATCTGAATCAGTATCGCTATAAAAGGCCCATTTATGCAGTGGTTGCTTTTTTCTTTTTATGACCCCACCAAGGAAAATGTGGATGTCTGAGTGCAGGTGGGATGAGGACAATCTATAGACATATGTGAAGATGGGAACTGATATTTGAAGATCCCATTCATTCAGGATGATCGGTTGCCTTAGTGAAGGGTTTGCAATCTCAGAGCATGCATGTTCATCTATTGCAAAGCAGAAGAGTGAAGGATACTGAAGTTGAGTGTGAGCAAGCCGGAGAGAGGAAACTGGAGCTTGTTGTGAAAGAGCGGGCAGTCAGGGAGCACTCCTTGTTGAATGGATGTTTTTACAGGACCCTGAAGGAAAACAATTCAGGTTAATTATGTCATGTAATGATAGTAAGAAAAATACCATACATTGTGGTAATTTACCAAAGGTTCTCAATGACCATAACAATTAAACTACTATTCATGACCGTTAATTAAAATGTGGTTAGCAGTTAAGAGATTTTTGATATTTAATTTTCCACCTCAAAATGTTTTTGAAATTTCCTAAATTTACTCAAATTAAAACTAGTTTTCCTCCTTTTTTAATAATATTTCCAAAGTGTCCATGATTTAACAAGTCAAAAGTTACATAACAGTAGGAATGAGGAGCACACAACACAAGATAAGAATATTTAGTATAGTTCAACCCTATACATCAAAAATAAAATAAAATCTATCTTTTAGCTGAATAAAGAAGCAGTATAAAATACTGTCTGCTCTACTACAGGATACTCTTTGGTGAGGATCGGAAAAGTTTAGGTCAGAAGCCTCTAGAGTCAAATTAGGTGTATATTTTCACAACATTACGCTCAGGCCATTACCAACTGTAAACTTGTATATGTCCAATGATATGGTACAAGTCACTGCGATTAAAAACCTGGGCCTAGATCGAACTAAAAAACACAACACCTTAAATTGCATGTAGGTGGCGCTGTTGCACTCACAGTTGTGCGTTACATATTGTAGTATTCAGGGCTATATTTGCGAATTAATTTCTAGCTTCATTGGACAAACATTGTGCTCAAAATGCTTATTCAAAGAACTGTCCCACACCTGACCACCGGGGGCGCCCTGTAAGTCCCTTACAACTTTTGCCTAAATTAATGTTTTGCTCATCCTGGTTCAAAGATTACATTCAACATTTTTCGGGCTGATCCTGATCTGATTTTAGTCTGATTGCGTTCAGGTCATAACCTAATATCACTGATGTGAGTTTCAGCAGAAACTTCAGACCGTCACAGCTGACTTCCTCTTGGTCCCAGAGTGAGGCTCCACTCTGGGACCAAATTTGAAAAGCTCCTATGGGCTTTTCAAATTTGAAATTTCCAGGGGGCGTTAATTTTATGATTTTTTTCTTGCATTTTTCTTGCATTCGTGCATGTCTTCAGGGTAGAGCCCTGCACTTGAGCCCTAGGCCCGAGGGGCACAACAGCCCGAGGACCCAGCTTTGGGCCGATGACCGTATAATTACCTCGGACACGGGCCGGGCACTTTTATTTATTCATTTTCAGAGCGACAGATTACATTTATGAACGCACCCAATAAATATAGCGTTCTATCACGCTGTAGTATTTGTTGTTCTGAATAGTATTGTCAGTGACGTCACATAGCTTTACCTTCTTGTGTGTTGCGGCATCTGGATATCATACAGCGGTGTATCATACAGCTGCGGCTGTTCACTCCGTACACACAGAACTCATTGCAACACATCACTGTGTATGTATAACTCCGCGCTCTAGCCGGGCCTGTGTTCATGTCAGTGCACTATATACTACACATGCTAAAACATTGTTATGGGAGGTAAAAAAAAAGTAGAAAAAGTCGGGCTTGATACGGGTTTGGGCCTGAGAATTCTGAAAACCTGTCGGACCGGGCCGGGCTGGCGCTTCACCCCTTCGGGCCAGATAATAGGCCCGTGCAGGGAACTACTTCAGGGTCAAAAATCAAATCCTTTCGACCGCAAAAAAAAAATTTGCGGCAGAAAACAACATGTTTGTTATAACATGATTAAATAACTTACCGGGAGATAGTTGACTGGTATTTCATATTTGTACTCCTCTGCTTGAAGTTTATATACCAGCTTCATCATTGGCCCACTTTATGTAAAGGAGAGATTGTAAACCGTGATTAAATACTGTTGTTATATACAGGAGATATGAAGAGGATTAGCGATACCTGGGGTTTAAAAACTCCAACACAATGTTGTATTCAGGGCTGCGGGAGTGAAGAAGTCGCAGGTTCCAGCCTGCGATGATGCCGTCCAGGCTGCCGAACACGGTCTCTACCAGCCATGGGAAAATGGAATGCAACTCCTAAAATATTAAGTTAGTAGAAATGGGTTTAAAACAAATACATACATAGACAGTAAAATGAGAAACAGAAGGCATAAATATATGTTTATCTAACATAAAATTACTACTACTAAATTGGAACCAAACTGGTCTCAAACTTAGGAAGAGGGGACTTAAGTTACTTTTTCCCCCATAATCTTTTAGATAAAGAGTAGAACAGAAAAATGTGATCTCAAAACAAAGTAAACAGCTGCAATCAGGTTTCGAGGCTACACAATGAACATTCAAAAGCCAAACATTCCTTTGAAAAAAGGAACTTTTCAATGGAGAATGTCATGTTAGTGTCATAAAAGATAACATACGGTTGAGTTTGTTTTATGTATATAAATAACTACATATAATTATATTATTGCCATTTGAAGTTAGTCACCTAGGCTTGTAGTTCAGGATATACTCTTACTGTGAGACTTGGCAGCCCTAATATATACTGTATATAACAACTGATTTTTTCCCCATAGAATATGAGTTGCACCAAGTAATTAAAATGTTCACCTTTTTAAGACTCTCCTATTTCAGCAGCAGTAGTCATTAGTTATTATCTGTCATATAGATACATAGATAGATATATCTATCTAAAAAGTGAATAGAGTACCTTTGCAGGATAATCATCAATGATTTTCACCAAATCTTGGCAGCGATGCAGAAGAGGTTTAGTGGTAGAGTCTGTCTTTAGATTGGCCTAAAAATCACACCAGTTAATTAGCTGACAGTCCCGTAGATAGTAAATACCATGTATATTGAATACTTGCCAGTAAGAAGCTGGGCTGTGGTAACGCTGGTGCAGCCATAGAGCAGCCTCTGCAGTAATCCTCTCAGATACAGTTACTTCAGATCTTCTGTAAAGTTCAGGGTTTAGTCAACTGAACACAACAATGATCTTGATGCAACATTCTACTTGCAGTGCAAACATTTGTCAATATGACTCAAAGTCTGTGATCTGGACCCATTAGCCCACTTTCAGTAACATTCACAGTTAGCACACGAGCGGCTAGCCATATAAGGCTAAACTTGTGAAGCAACGCAATCAATCAATGAAAACATGATTTGGGGTGAACTGCGGTTATTAAATAGTAGAAATCGAGTATGTAACATGTTCAAATGCTGCTTACCTTCAGTGATGGTAAATATGAGTCCGCAAAGCCATGGATCTACAGCGTGAGAGCGGTTTGGTGTGAGCGGTGTGACGGGCTGCTTCTTCCCCGTGTGTGTGGATCTCTCTGACCAGACTCATGAGCGCCCTCTAGTGGCCGATACACACCCTGCAGCTTGTTCAGGCCAGCCAAGAACCTGCTACTGTACTTCGGGAGTAATTCAGAATTCTCTTTTTGAGTCACTGTAATCCATCACAGTTAATACAAGCATTTATTGAGGTTGTGGTTTAAAATGTTGTTTTAAATTTACCTTCATATGTTCTGTAAATAACCACTGAAGGAGCAGTACGTTAAAATCTGGCCAAAAGTGCCACTGCAACCTCTGTCACTCTCCCTGACTCAGGTTGCCAGATATGCAGACTGGGACCAGTATAATAATAACTGAATAGACAAGAGTTTTGTCGACAACAAATCTATAACCAACACCTTTTTCACAAAGATAGAAAACCTGGTTTTGTCATAAATGATTTGAGAATCGTAACAAAATCTTTTTATAGTTCTGCGGCCACATGTTTCTTTACCAGTGAGATTAGCTCAAAATGAAAACAATATTAAGATTGAGGGGCTAATTTATGAAATTCAAATATCTCGGCTGAACTGCTGTTATCAGATAAATAAGTATTGGAAAAGAGCATGTTTTATTAATGCCTTTTTGCCAGATTAGGGCCATTTAATGATGAATTTACATGAAAATCTCACATATAGCTACTTTAATTTACAATGAAAAATATATAAAATAATTAATAATTAAAAGTGTAAATAAAAGTATTCTAAGTATTCAGAATACAGGTACTACTTTGGAAACAAAGTAAAAGAATACTATACAACATATATTTCAGGTCCTCTATTGAGTATGCTGGACGGAATACATTTTTTTGAGCCAACACTGTGTACAATATATACTGTCCAGCAGAGGAGTCAAGTAGTGTCTTACTTAAGTAGTTTTTCTTAGCATTAATAATTTACAACTGTTCTGATCTTTGTTACTTGTATTCTTAATTTAAAACACAAAATATATGATGTGCTTATACTCTTATTACTGAAGATGGCGCTGTGGCATTAGCACTGCTGGTAACCCGACGTATTTACTTAATGTATGTTATATTCATAGACTGTATGTTATATCACTACTTTTCGAGCTGACTTTTGTTAATTAAACAAAACAATACTGTATATGTAATGTAATATTTGATTTTTTTTCTTTGTTTTAAAAAAAAATCTTTTCTGTTATTTTGTTGCTGTTCTTGTTCATTCATTATCAAAGAATCAAATACATTACAAAGTAGATGAGCTATTTATTTGTTCATATAAAAATATTACAGACTCTTTATTTAAAACATGAGGAGCTTACACATTTTAAAACAATATACAAAACTTGTCTAGCTTGTTAGTGACCTATAATATGAAAAAAAAAAAAACATATAAGACTAAACAAATAGATACAATGAAGAAAGAGGGATCAGACATAGTGGAGACATACGTTTAAACAAGGTCCATTTCAATGTGTGCGTTTCTCGGAGCCAATTCAGCTTTATCTTAATGTCTTCATCCTCACAAGTATAAACATGCATACACATCATTATCACGCTGTAATAACTGACAGACAGTAAAACACAGGTCAGTAAAATAGGCAACACTATTGGTATTTTGTCTATGATTAGTGAGCTAGACTACATCTTTGGTTTTGCCCAGCCTTCGCAACAAACCTAAGTAAATGTCCTCTATGTATCAATATTTACATCACACTATTGGATGGTTACACATTGGATTCAGTTAGTAAATGCTATAAACTGTATTTTGGTGTCACTAGCCTTCATGTTTGTATTACATTAAAAGTAATAACATTTTATCCATTCATAAAACACAAGTACTCAATCATACATTTTATATTCTTATTTTTCCCAACATTTCACTTTCAAAAGGACATAGCTTTTCTGGTCACAACAGGTTGTCTCCAGATGTTAGTAATCTAATAAGTTCATACGGTTAAAAGAAAGTGCACATTTAAATCTATAATAACATGATTTTTGCGCAATTTGCTTTGTCTGTAAGGAGCATGTCATTCACATGTGAAATCTGCAGAGCCTTTTCTGCTCATGTATGGACCCAGTTGTTTTGTGGGGTTGTATATCCATGTGTGAGAAATCTTCATTCTGGACTCCTGCTAGTGCCCAGAGACAGGCCTAAACATGGTGAGGCTGCATTTCAGATTAATGCTGCTAAAATCTGGAACAATCTACCTGAATATGTGAGACAGGCTTCTTCTCTGACAATGTTTGAATCCAGGTTAAAAACAGTTCTGTTTATCTGTGCATACAACTGAGGTAATTTATGTTTTATATCTTTCAATTTAATATACTGTGATTATTTATGATTTTAATGTCTTGTGTGACTGTTTCTATCTTGTTTTGTTCAGCACTTTGAGTTGCTATACAAAAAAACTTGCCTGTCTACTTAACTTCATTCATCTGTGTATAATCTGTTTCACTTAACGTTTTAGCACAAATGAAGTAATCCTTATTCTTACAGTTTGCGATTTGTTTTGTAGGCCCTTTGTTGTGATGTGTGGTGTATTTCTTGTGACGATGATTTGTAAGCTTTTCAAAATAACATATAAAGCAGATCCACAGAGGTCATGGGCAGATGTTGCAGAGACAAAAGCACAACATGTGTTCCTTAAATAAAACAAAGCAATCCAAATGTAATAGCTATAAGGAAATATCAACAAAACACATCTACATACTTTATCCATAATCTTACATATTGACACTACTTGTATCACTGCATTAAATTAGTTGGCTCCCTAACTACATAGTCCTTGTAAAAGTAGTCTCTGTCCCATCTTTAGGACTCTGGGTTGTTCCTCCTGACCCTGGCCTTTCTGCTCTCCTGCTTCAGCTTCAGTGTGCGCAGCTTCTGTTGCCGCCTCTTCTCCCTGTACCACAGCTGCTCGCAGTCCTCCATGCTCAGGCTGTAAGTGCCAAACACAGACACGTGGTTGTAGTTCCTTACAGGCGGGTGCGGTTGAATCCAAGAGTTGCGGTGGTTCGCTTGTCCCAGAAAACCAGGAACCCCAGCTGCTGTGATCCTCCCTTGGGCCGGGGGAGCAGCCTGAGAGGGGGTCTGGCGGAGGTGGTGGTTGGGGATGACGTGAAGACGGTACTTGGCGAGGACTTGTTTGTAAGAGTGGTCAAAACTAGTGCAGATGTACACGCCGGCAGAGGAGAGTTCCACGTGTTGAAGCAGCAGGCCACGCTTCATCTGGAGAGATTGCTCACTGTTTATCTAAAAACAAGAAAAATAAATCATAATAATGGCTGATTTGATTGTGTATGTCTATCCACTGTGCATACACACATGTGCGAGGGTGAGGATGGAGGGAGAAATGTTTAGGCTTTTTATTGTACAGAAAATAAGTATATAAAGATGAAAGATGAAACTTTTCTGCATGCTTGTTGATCTGCTATCAGCTTATCTGGCAAAACTTGCTATGTGTTGCTACATGACATTGAATAAATCTGTTTTGCATACTGTATACAAAGCTATTGATGCTATGTTAACCATTGAAGTGTCAGAAATGTGATCAGAAACAGACAACAGATTGAGCCCTCAAACTTTGTAAGAGATAGAAGACTACTACAATCAATAACAGATATATATGAAAGAAAAACATGTACAAATGTTTTGGAGAAATGTTTGTGGGATGGCGACTTGTATACGTTTAGAGAGGTCTACAACTTTGATTGGTTGGATCAACAACTTTGATTTGGGCAGCGCGGTGGCTGAGGTTTCCAGTTACTCCGGTTCTCCCCACCACTAAAAACATGCACAATATGTAACGAGTGAGTGAGTGAATGGATGGTGTTTGGTCGGAGGCTTTGATGCTCCAGTAAGTTCGGCGACTCGCTTTCTGTCATCATCGTGTGTGCAGAGAATGGAAAAATATCTGAACTCCGAACAATTGTAAAGTGCTTTGGGTGACCTTGATCTGTAAAATGCACTATATAAAAAAACATGAACTTACATATTTTGGTGCCAAATAGGGATTTCTACTGGGTTCTAAAGTAACAGTATTTTTTAATTTGCAGTACAGTATGTTTGTCACCGTGATGCGGCCAATCTCCCTGTGCTTTCATTTTCAGCACGCCCTTTTCTTGTGTGCCTCCATGAATCTTCAACTTGACGAAACATCATGAAAAGGGATGGAGTGGGACCAACGCACCTGGGCCTGTGGTGGTTGGCTTTCTGTGAGCTGAAAGGTCCACTTGGTCTCAGCGTGAAGAGAGCGAGAAACACACTCCAGGAAAGAAGAGTTTCCTTCCACTGCATACATCTGCTTCACCTCCACAGAGTGCACATCTGAACAAAAGTATGACGGAATATTATCAATGACATATCATCGATCACACTTGCATGACTAAAGATGTCTCCTACATTAACTCATTGACTGCCAGCTGTTTTTGATGATTTCACTGATTTTCAAGACCCAGAGAATATTGTGTGCTGTGAGTATGTGAAATATGAAACCCGATTCCGAATTATTGGAGCGTCTACTTTCATCAGCAAAATTAAGCTAGTTTTGAGAGGGAGAGCAGTCAAAGAGAGGGAAGTTTAACAAAAATCACCGGTATCAGATAAATACGTCAGTGGTAGTCAATGAGTTAAGGGACTCCAGCCCATTCAATGCTCAATTTTAGGGGAAAGAACCCAGTTTTATTACAATGTATTGGTAGAAATCGGGTTAAAATTGTCAAAACCTATTGGACACTGTTCATAGAGCAGAATAATCATTTAACATAGATAGATATATAGACAGAGAGATGGATAGATAGATACTCGATTGATAGATCCCTTCAGAAGAAATTTAGGTGTCCAGTAGCAGCAGAATCACATCCATCCATACAAATAGATAATCCTAAAAGGAATGTAACATTTATAACATTCTTTCTTTACTCACATATTTAATTGTAAATGTAATTGTATATGCCTAAATGATGATCTATATGTAAATGTTTTCACTTTATATCATCCTAGTATTTTCTGCGATTACTAAGCATTGTATTGTCTCAGGGAGACTACAGTGGGAGACAGTGGGAGAATACACTTTGGCCTCAAATACTGTACGGTTGTAATAAAGGACGTGAACATGTTCTAAGCTGAAGCTGGACAGCATTGACATATTGCAATAACAAAGAAGTCCATATGTTTGACTGTGGGATGTCTCTATGGTCCATTTTCTTTCCACGGAACTCTAAAGGGAGCTCTAAACACAGGTATGCAGCACAGGTGACAGGCGGATGGATGGAAAGTATGTGAAAAATGAGAAACGTAAATATTTTATAACATGGATCACTTAGACTGTGATGGAGATATGGATCAATGTAATACAATGATACTCCTTCAGCATCAGGATATTAGATGGAAAAACAAGTTTAAAGGTTTTGTTAATCTTCTTAAGCATCTGAGGTGGGATGTACAAAAAGGGGTTTGGTACTTAATTGTGAAACTTTTAAACATTTCAATAAGCCTAAACACTGGGACTCCGGGGAGTATCCAGGACCTGTCTCTCAGCTGGCCTGGGAACACCTCCGGATTCCTCCACATGAGCTGGGAGCTGCAGGAGAGTGTGTGTCTCTGTTCAGACTGCTTCTACTGCAACCCAGCGACAAATAAAGCAAAAGAAAAAGGATGGATGGAGTTTTGAAAGATGAATTTATTGCTAAACTCAAAAACCAGGTTTTTTTTAAAAAGAAAATTGTGAGTTAATTAAACAAGTTACCTTAAGGACAATATATGAATGCCTGGAGTTACAGAGAGTAGCCACTAGAGTACTCTCTTCACCACTGATTTATAGATCCTTAAATAAAGTGTTGGAGAAAAAAGTGGATTTTTCTCCCATTGAAGACCAACTGTCTTTGTTAAGTCAGACTGATGGATGCCGTCCTATAAGCACCAGTACACAAAACCCACAAAGAAGGAGAACTGACCATTCATCACTGATGTGTACATGCAAGTGGACATGTTTGCATTGTTTACGTGCCTGGTTGTATGTTACATAAGAGACGGATGAAAAGAGTTTTAAAGTAATGAGGGAGGAAATCCGTACCGTCGTCTGTGATGGGGCACTGACTCCAGGGGTCTCCATACTTCACATCCTGTCTCCGAGCTCTCCTGAAATACATGCACCAGTCACTTCATAATGTGGAAAGTACTAGATTGGACTAGCCCAAAATAACTTTTGCTCTTGTATCGGTACTTTGTCACTATAATATAGTTATTGCGAGTTTTAAATAATTGAAACATTTCACAAGCTTCATCAACGTTACACCGACCTTCCCTCTGTTTTTAAGTTGTTAATACATGTTTTACAGACAGTAGACTATGTTATATGAAAAAAGCGTAGATTTTTTCATACAACATAGTCGAACATAGCCCAACCACAGAAATAACAACTTTACAAAACTAAAGTCAAGAGCCCAGATTTATATTCAGGCCTAAATCACAATAGTTTATTAAACCAGTGACGATGAGTCCACTCTGTCTCATTTGAAACAGTTTGTCCTGTGACTGTGGTGCTCTCTGGGCGTGAACATGAGGCTCTAATGAGAGGACGGAGCACAGTCGGGCTATCCAAACACTCACTGTTTTCGTAGAGCTGGTTCTGTCCGAGCCGTCATGTCTCCTCCTTTTTGTAGTTTGACCTTTTTGTGTTGATTCGTGAGACGTTTACAACTTTCTTCCAACTCATTGTCTAATCTCCCTAATTCGAGGTATTACCACGAGAGAGAGTGATGACGGATCACACCCACTGGTCTTGACTTACTTTTCTTGAGGATCCCCCTTAATGTTGATGCGCAGAAGATTGCATTTGGGTTGACGGTATTTTTTACTAATATATATATATATTTAATAGGGGTGCAACGGTTTGAAAAAATCACGGTTCGGTTCGTACCTCGGTTCAGAGGCCACGGTTCGGTTCATTTTTCGGTTCATTTTTCTTTTTGAATAAACCCAGCTCATGTGGACTCGGCACCTGCTCTGACTGCCCCCCTCACCTAGAAATGAATTAAGGTGAAGGAAATGGATGGATGGGTGGATGGAAGGCATATTCCATCCATCCAATTATGTCTATTTAACATAATTAATGAAAAACAACACAAAGTGCAACATAAGAAGGCACTTTATGAGGATATTTACCCTCATATATTACACCACCTTCCTGATTCTCCCAAGGAGGGGGTCCATTCTGGGCCCAGCCTCATTCACTGCATTTATTTAATTTTTGGCATTATCAGTTGTGACTGGAATATTAGTACTGGGCCTTTGTCTTCCATTCCTCCGCTGCTTGTGTCAGTACCTGCGCTGTGTGACTGTGTGACTGTCGTAGAGGGGGCGTGTCTGCAGCGCCAGACTTTTCATCTCCCAGTCTGCGGTGATGAAGTGAGCGGTTCCGCTCATGGATCTATTATAGGTTCCGCGGGGACGTCCAAACGTCAGTCGTGAACGCAGCTGAGGATGCGCGGGAGAGTTGACTTTAGCCCGGTCTGACTGTGCGTAAAGGAGCTGCTTAAATGCCGCGACAATAAGCGGTCGTTGAGACGCTTTTTTCACTCATGTCTTTCTTGTGCCACAGTGCTTACACACTGACAGTTTTGTCGAATATGAATCATCAGTGTAGTTACAGTGAAGCCAAAATGCTCTCATACTGGGGATTTAAATGACGCGGGGCTTTCAAGCATCTCCGTTCCTCCGCTCGCAATGACCGCGCTGTGTGTGGACTGAACAACGTGCGCACAACTTTTTATTCATAAATCAAACCGCGGATCACGTCTGTACCGAACCGAAGACGTTGAACCGAACGGATCACGGATCAGTGATGAACCGTTGCACCTCTAATATTTAACATTTCTGAGAGTAAGAAGGTGATCATATAACCGATTTTTTTTATCGGGGACCCTACAAAACAACAGATTACTTTCACCAAAGAAACCTTTTAAGACTGTTTACTAATTAACCAATAATATGTGATTTGAATTTGATGAAAACGTAGACATTTTGACCTGCACTGGGCATGACCGGTTCCATAACAAGTACAAACTTAAGTACCTTTTGCTCGTAGGGAAATATCTGGAGCAGGTCTGTCCGTCCCAGGAGCAGTAGGGGTCCCGCGCCAGGCAGCACTCGGCACAGTCGTCCCCGTACATCTCACACCTCTGTAAGGCCAGCTGCACCACGCCGCGCTCACTCGACACGTACAGCTGTTGCTACGGGCACAGGGGGAGAAGAGGCTTTAAAACCTGGCAACGCAAACTCTCTATCTGGTTTGGCTCTGGTCCCATCAAACCCCAAACCACCTGCAGTGCTTGGCCCATCACACTGTGGGATGGGTATTTTGTAAAGCAGGAAAACATGTATGACAGACTTATCACTTCAGTATTATTATATGAATATTTACCTAATCTAGCAGAAATGTGGACTTTTTGGTTGAACAAGTTGAGATTTAGTTTTCAAATTGGTGTATGTATCCCCAGCTGGATTTCAGTGACAGCCTTTCAGGTTGTATTTCTTCATTTAAGAGTGTCATAAGCAGAGTTTTGGGTCACACTGAAGTTTAGCCCTCACTAATTAACAGCTAATTAAGTGGTAAAATATATGATTATTCAGTAGTTAGTCCTTATTCTACACGGCCGTATTGAATGTCTAACTAACTAACTACTGACACTTTCCCATGTGGGTTAGAGTTAGGATTAGGATACACTAGTTGGTGCACTAATAAACGACTATTTAAATTAGCACTTACAGTAATTATCTGTTAATTAGTGAGGACTAATCTAAAGCGTTACGCAGACTTGTGCCCCTCCTTCCTCCTCTTGTGTGCCCACTCCCCTCCCTTTGCGTGTCCAAGAGCTTCCAAACTGCTTCCAATTGCCGGTGAGCTGCTACTGGTCGTTTCAATTTTGTTTTTCATATTTCTTTAGCTCGGGGCCAGTTTTTGAGCCACACTGTTTTTATTGTCTGGAGCAGAATTACGGACATAATTGACTTTTTTTTCTTACGTAACATGAATGACAATGTGAAAGATTTACAGACGTTGAAGAAGTCAGGTACAAGTGGAATAAAGCATCTCCAAAATACACTTTTCTTCAGGATGTAAAGGCATAGGTTTAATTCAGTATTTTAAAACAAGAATATTATTAGAGGGGCCATAAATGTATAAGATCAACAATAGCTTACTCTTTTGGTTGACAGTTCCATATTCAAGATCGGTGTAGGGCTCTGAAATCAGACATAGTGTTCATGATTAATAACACAATATTATACTTACTTATATTTACTGATACTTTCTTGAGTATTTGTAGATAGTGTGTCTAACTTTATAACATTGAGTGACTTTATATGTATACAGGTAAAACAATTTCTGTAATGGAACATATTTTGGAATAGCCTTTCCAGTGTAGAACATGGACACTTCTCTTACAATAATGATGCAGCTCACATAATCTCACCTGGAACACAGTGAGCTCCTCAAGGAAGATTTCTTCACTCTCCCAATTGTCTTTGATCACGGACACAGCCTTCACCACTTTACCATCATCTGGGAAAATAAATCATTCAGTTTATTATAATTACTATGTGCTTATACATTATTATAGGGCGGCACGGTGGCTGAGTGGATAGCACTCTCGCTTCTCATAAAGGTGCCACTAAAAACGTGCACAATAGGTATGAATGTAAATGACTGAGTGAATGGATGGTGTTGGTGGGAGGCTTTGATTGTGTGATGTCAATATCTGAACTTAAAATATTGTAAAGTGCTTTGGGTGACCTTGGTCTGTAAAAAGTATAATAATAAATGAATGCAAAGTTTGATAATATATATTTATGGTGTTGAGATGTTTAAATAAGTAGTAGTAAGCAGTAGTAGTAATCTTTATTTATATACCGCCTTTTCACTGCAGATCTGTGTCTCAAAGCGGTTTACAATTGTTAATTTTTTTTTTTGGGCATTTGTCTCTCACTCCACACAGAGATGGGAGCGGGGTCGCCAGTACAGGAAGCGCATGCCAGACCTATTGGACATATTTTTAGTGGTAGGGGAAACCGGAGTACCCGGAGGAAACCTACGCAGACACGGGGAGAACATGCAAACTCCACTCAGAAAGGCCCTGGTCCGACCGGGATTCGAACCCAGGACCTTCTTGCTGAGAGCCACCGTGCCGGAAATAAGGTCAGGAAATATGAGGACACTTATGTGGAAGTCAAAGTGTTCTGGGAGTTTGTGGAAATACTGCATTGGTCAAAATGGGATCAATTACAAGTCTGATGGCACTCATGCGTTCCCTGTTGAGGTTTAAATATATTTTCCATAAATTCACCCGAGAGTCTTCTGTGTGTGAGTATATATTATTGACATAATAATTCTGCAGTAAATACATGTTCACTAAACATTTCCTTGTAAATTGTAAAATAAATGTTAGCTCAAGGACCTGGCAGACAGTAGAATGACAACCTCCTGTAAATACATCATCTTCTTATGATCAAATAAACATATTTCCATATAAAGTCAGATCTACTTTAAGGTCACAGCCAGATCGCCAAAGGCCACCTTCTTCTGCATCATGGAAATAGTCCATATGAGGATGTCGATATGAAAATGAGAGCAACGTGAAGATTTATGACATGGTTGGAACTACCGCATACAGCTGTTACAGAGTGCAAGAAGCCAAGGCAGTTATCATTTTAGGTGCAAAATAAATCTGTCCTCAAAAGACATACGCCTAATGTCAGGAGACCCACACAGGAATCACTTGTTTGCGACCGTGTGTGCGACCTCTGGACAGAGCAGTCGCATTCTCTTGCTGCTCCTCGCTTTCTGCTTTTTTATCTCCTTTAATCATTTTTGCTTACATTTTTATTCCACAAAACACGGATTACTCCTTTTTACAAACTTCAACACAAGACTTGTGGAATTTACCTAACTTACAGCATGTCGGGAGGACGGGAAAACAGAACAAAACTTTGCGACGGCTGTTTTTCACTCAAACAGGAGCTAAAACTTCTTCAAGACCGAATGTTTGTGCTTGAATCAGAATTGGGGCTGAACACAACAATACCAATGAAGGGAAATGGACCAAATGGACAAAACGTAAGTTATGATGACGCTATTTCATTTCCCAAAATCAACAGAGACAATTGTTGGAACACATATGGTGCCAAGCCCAAACAAGGCAAAGCTAATGATAACAAGAGTGTCATAATGCCACAGCAAAAATCTTTAATTACAAGAAACCGCTTTTCCCCACTTTTGGAAGATGAATCAGCAGTAGTCTCTCAGTCCCAGTCTCAGTCTCAGTCAAGGTCAAATGCAGCTGAGTCGCTCTTTATCGGCGATTCGGCGATAAGACGCGTAAACATGCGTAATCTCAAGGTTCACTCAGTACACTCTGCCAAAGTGGATGAGATAAGGCGGCTGGCTCCGAGGCTTCTGTCTGAGACCGGCGGGGTAAAAAGATTGTTGATCCACGTGGGGGCAGTAGACGTCTATGACAACACAAGTGAAAAGTTGAAACGGGATTACTCTCTCTTATTGGACGACCTTGCTAAAATGGATGTAAAAATCGTTATCAGTGGCCCACTACCAAATGTGGACGGGAAGCAAATGAAATTCAGTCGTCTGTATCAGCTAAATACTTTCCTACTCAACGAATGTTCACGCAGAGGACTTGCCTTCATTGAGAATTTTAATCTGTTCTGGAATAGGCATGAGCTTTTTGAAGGGAAAGGGCCACATCTGAACACTTACGGAGTAAAAGTGTTGATGGATAACCTTTCTTTTGCCCTGAGACCTCAGCCTGCGCAGCTCGTGCAGCCATCGAAAAGGAGGAAGCCGACTCTAAAAGTCTCTGCACCTCCACCACCTCGAAGGATCTCAACACCTCCACCACATCGAAGGATCTCAACACCACCACCACCTCGAAGGATCTCAACACCACCACCACCTCGAAGGATCTCAACACCACCACCACCTCAAAGGATCTCAACACCACCACCACCTCGAAGGATCTCAACACCATCACCGCCTCAAAGGATCTCAACACCTCCACTGTCATCAGAAGCAGCTGCATCATCACCAGTAGCAGCACCAGCAGCACGACCACCACCACCACCAACATCCTCATCCCTAGCCTGCTCCAAAGCAGCCACGCCTTCTTCTTCTACAGCGCCTCTGAAGCCCCCATCCTCACCCCAGGCTACAGCAGACAGGCCTGTGCTGGGGTTTCCTCAACCACCTGCCCCTCCATCAAAGACTCCCTCGACCTCCCATGGACCCATCAAAGACCTCCCATGGACCTGTCTTGGGTCCCCCCTGCCACGTCCACTCCATCAAGAGAGAATGGGGACACGTCCCTTTGTTTTTCATCCCCGCCTTCACTGTTAGACCTACCTGAACACTCTGCAGGGCTAATAAAATCGGCGATGAAGACTATTCCTCTCACACCCATATTAGCTAGATCTAGAGTCCTGTCCAACATGCTAAACCACTCCCCATATGTACCTCCAAAACCACCTAGGGTTTCCAATTCACCTACAAAAACCACCTCAGCCAGTCCCTCCCCTAACCTCATGACCATTCCACCCCCACTTCCCCCTCGTTCAGCACCCAAAACCTCTGCCTCAGCCCACCCCGGCCCTAACCCATCACCAAAAACCCCTCCACCTCCCTGCCCCCCTCGTTCAACACCCAAAAGCCACCCACCTCTCCATCCTCCTCCCCCGCCTTCCCCTTCCCCTCTTTTCTCTAAACACTAGGATGCACAGGGTCTCTGCTTCGCAGCCACTGGCAGTCTAGTTAGAGGAGAGACCCGGCTGGGGCCCTGTCATGAAGCCACCTGTGCCATTCCCGTAGTGATAACACAAAGAATACATTACAGAAAGACATCTGGAGTTAATAAGTCTAATCTGGAAAATCTAATTCTTGTTCCGTGTAAGAATCAGCCGACCACAACCGCTGATACTGAAACTTTGAAACTTGCTACGCTTAATGTCAGATCTCTTTGTAACAAGTCTTTTTTAATCAATAATTTTATTTGTTCTCATAATCTTGATCTTATGTTCATGGCTGAAACTTGGCTTGACCAAAATTCAGGAAATGCAGTTTTAATAGAAGCATCACCACCAAATTTCAAGTTTGAATCTGAAATACGGGAAAACAAAAAAGGAGGAGGCTTAGCTGCCATTTTCAGAGACCACTTTGTCTCCCATAGAATGTCTCTTGGGAAGTTTTCGTCTTTTGAATATGTGTCTTTTAAAATACAACAAAAACAATCTCCTCCAATACTCTTCATTGTCCTATACAAGCCACCGCAGTCATGTCACAGTTTTATTGATAATTTTACCGAGTTGCTTTCAGTTGTATGCACAGATTTTGATAGTTTGGTTATTACAGGTGATTTTAATATTCATGTGGATAATGTTGATGACAGAAATGCAAATGAGCTGAGTTCTGTACTTGAATCCTTTGATCTCACTCAGCACGTAAGTGGCCCCACCCACAGCAGAGGGCACACTCTAGATCTGTTAGTTACTAAGGGGGTGAATATTTCAAATGTAAACGTGGTCGATGTTGCTCTTTCGGATCATTTCTGTGTTTTTTTTGACATGTGTTTCACTAACAAACCACCAGTGGACTCTGCAACTGTACGAAGAAGACACATAAATGAAAATACGAGTGAACTATTTATGGGAATGATAAACTTTGAGAATGCATCGTATTCTACTGTAGATGAACTGTTTAACTCTGTCACCTCTAGTGTTTTGAATGTTCTGGATACCGTTGCCCCTGTGAAGGTTAAAATAGTGAAAAATAAGCAGAAGGCGCCGTGGGCTAAAGCAGACTCGGTCAGGGCACAAAAGAGAAAGTGCCGGAGGGCCGAGCGGAAGTGGCGCAAGTCCAACCTCCAGGTTGATTACGAGATCTTCAAAGATAAGTTGTGCGAGTTTAACCGGGTGCTACGTAGTACGAGAGAAAGGTATTTTTCTGAAATGATTGAAGGCTGCAGCAACAATCTGCGTGTTCTGTTTTCAACAGTTAATAGATTAACAAACCCCCCTGTTCAAATGCCATTAGAGCTTACTTCCAAACGTAAATGCAATGAGTTTGCAAATTTTTTCAATGACAAGGTTCAAGGCATCAAAAACGCCATTGTCTCCAATCCACAGATAACCATCCAACAGCCAGAAAGGCTCTCTGAGCTAACTCACTTTGCACCTGTAAATGATAAAACTGTCCAAGAGATAATCTCCAGTTTGAGCTCCTCCACATGCAGCTTGGATGTACTACCCACTAGATTTCTGAAGTCTGTTCTGAGCAGTCTGTTACCTTCACTCACACAGATAGTAAACATGTCCCTTCATTCTGGAATATTCCCAAAGGCCCTGAAAACTGCAGTCATCAGGCCCCTGCTAAAAAAGAGCAGTCTCGATGCTACGGTACTTAACAACTATCGTCCCATCTCAAATCTGCCATTTATGGGGAAAGTCCTTGAAAAAGTTGTCTACCTACAGCTTACTAGATTTCTTATAATCAACAACTCATTTGATATGTTTCAGTCCGGCTTTAGACCCCACCACAGCACTGAGACTGCTCTCGTCAAGGTTACAAACGATATCCGGCTGAACACTGACGCAGGCAAAGTCTCAATCTTAATCTTGTTAGATCTAAGTGCTGCCTTTGACACCGTCGACCATGAGATCCTCTTACAGAGACTAGAGGACTGGGTTGGAGTCGCTGGCACCGCCCTAAGTTGGTTTAGGTCTTACCTTGAGGACAGGAAGTACTTTGTGGAGATTGGAAACTGTGTCTCAGATCATATGGCCCTGACCTGTGGAGTACCACAGGGGTCGATCCTGGGACCTCTTCTGTTCAATCTCTACATGCTGCCGTTAGGTCAGTTAATACGCAGAAACGAAGTTTCCTATCATAACTATGCAGACGACACTCAGATCTATGTCTCACTGACTGCAGGAGAACATGGACCAGTGGACTCACTCCTTCACTGTATCCAACAGATCAGTGAGTGGATGCAAAACAACTTCCTTCAGCTAAACGCAGACAAAACTGAAATGATTGTCTTTGGTCCCCAGAAACAAAGAGAGAGCGTCATCTGTCACCTACAGTCTCTCTCCCTAAAACCTTCAAACAAGGTCAGAAATCTAGGGGTAATACTGGACTCAGACTTAAATTTTAATAGCCACATCAAATCAGTAACATCAGCAGCTTTTTACCATCTAAAAAACATTGCCAGGATCAAAAACATAGTGTCTAAAGCAGACTTGGAGATTCTTATCCATGCATTTGTCTCCAGTAGGTTAGACTACTGCAATGGCCTGCTCACAGGTCTGTCCAAACAGGCTGTAAAACAGCTGCAGTACATTCAAAATGCAGCAGCTCGAGTCCTGACAAGAACCAGGAAGTACGACCACATTAGTCCAGTCCTCAGGTCTCTGCACTGGCTTCCTGTGGCTCAGAGAATAGACTTTAAAACAGCTCTGCTTGTGTACAAGTCTCTCCATGGCCTCGCACCAAAATATATTAGTGACATGTTAGTCCCATATGAACCAGCCCGGACTCTGAGGAGCACAGGGACTGGACTCCTGTTAGTGCCCAGAGTCAGAACTAAACATGGGGAGGCTGCTTTTCAGATTCATGCTGCTAAAATCTGGAACAGTCTTCCTGGAGATGTGAGACAGGCCTCCTCTCTGACAATGTTTAAAGCCAGGTTAAAGACAGTTCTGTTTAGCTGTGCATACAACTGAGGGATTTTATATTTGTATCTTTCTTTTTAATGTTCTGTGATTATTTATGATCTTAATGCTTTCTTGTTTTGTTCAGCACTTTGAATTGCCTTGTGTATGAATTGTGCTATATAAATAAACTTGCCTTGCCTTGCCTAGAAAAACAAAAAACAGTTAATTTTCACTTGTTCCGGCTGGGTGCTGTTTAATTTTCTCCCAGTTTTTCCATTATACAAAGTGGATTACTACACTCTAGTGTTGTCCAGTGCATTGAGCTGAAGTGTATATGAGGAGGGCCCATGGGAGCAGCGCTGGAGGTGCTCCTAGTAAAGCCTTTCACCTGAACTCCTGAGCCACTAGCCCTGTGTTAGATATTATCTGAAATTCTCTCCAGGCCCCAGCACACATAAGTCCATCGGCCTACTACAATGACCTGCGGCGGGAGTAAGTCGGGTTAGAATAAGCTGATCCAGGGTGAAAAGGTAAGTATGAGTGCTTAGCCAGGCTTGATCTCAGCTGCCAACCCTTAACATCAACAAGGCAGCAGCAAGCGAAACTGTGGTTTAGAATACAGAGCTGTTACACAACGTCTTTTGATGTATATAATCTTTCCCTGACTTTTAGAGGGTGAGAATTTATTGATTGGTTGAAATCTTCTGTAACTCACTTCACAGCCAGTCACAGAATTAATGTAATGTGTACTATATTTATCCCCGTAAGGCATTTTGTCCTCTGCATTTGACCCAACCTGCAAATGCCCTATAGAGCGTCTGTCAGGAGCAGTGGTCGCCATAGTACAGCGCCTGGGGACCCTTCTCCAGATGTTGATAATCTGCTTGGTCAGGACTATCAGAGCTGGAGGATTAGACCTATTGTGCATGTTTTTATCAATTGGAAGGGTAAAGTGACATAATAGTGGACAAATTTAGATGATGCAACTTGCTATGTCACTTTAAGCATTAATAGTTTTTTTTCTTTTTACCAGCAAGGTCGTAGCGAGCGGGACCCAGCCATCTTTTACTTTCACTATAGGACAACACATCTCCGTAGAAACCGTAACCAAGCAGCGAAACGGAGAATCTGAGAAAGGAGTCGTTGTGGTGGACGGAGCACACGTCCATCGGTTGCGAATCACCTGAAAAAGAAATGAGGAACACACAGTTATTTGCTGGGACAGGTCTATTTCGAGCAAGTATTGACTCTGCTTGTGCCATTGTTTTCTCTCTGTGCCATTATTAAAAACAAAGTTTGACAATCCTTAAGTCTATGACACAATTTTCTGTCTACTTTAAGTTATCATTATTAATTTGATATATGGATTTATGCCTAAAAAATGTTAAACATATGCTGAAATTATTAAATTAGTCAAATACTTCACAGAATTCCATCATGAAGCTGTTTTTGATGATTTCACTGATTTTCAAGACCCAGAGAATATTGTGTGCTGTGAGTATGTGAAATATGAAACCCGATTCCGAATTATTGGAGCGTCTACTTTCATCAGCAAAATTAAGCTAGTTTTGTTCTTCAGAAATCCCCAGTCGAAGAGAGGGAAGTTTAACAAAAATCACCGGTATCAGATAAATACGTCAGTGGTAGTCAATGAGTTAAGGGACTCCAGCCCATTCAATGCTCAATTTTAGGGGAAAGAACCCAGTTTTATTACAATGTATTGGTAGAAATCGGGTTAAAATTGTCAAAACCTATTGGACACTGTTCATAGAGCAGAATAATCATTTAACATAGATAGATATATAGACAGAGAGATGGATAGATAGATACTCGATTGATAGATCCCTTCAGAAGAAATTTAGGTGTCCAGTAGCAGCAGAATCACATCCATCCATACAAATAGATAATCCTAAAAGGAATGTAACATTTATAACATTCTTTCTTTACTCACATATTTAATTGTAAATGTAATTGTATATGCCTAAATGATGATCTATATGTAAATGTTTTCACTTTATATCATCCTAGTATTTTCTGCGATTACTAAGCATTGTATTGTCTCAGGGAGACTACAGTGGGAGACAGTGGGAGAATACACTTTGGCCTCAAATACTGTACGGTTGTAATAAAGGACGTGAACATGTTCTAAGCTGAAGCTGGACAGCATTGACATATTGCAATAACAAAGAAGTCCATATGTTTGACTGTGGGATGTCTCTATGGTCCATTTTCTTTCCACGGAACTCTAAAGGGAGCTCTAAACACAGGTATGCAGCACAGGTGACAGGCGGATGGATGGAAAGTATGTGAAAAATGAGAAACGTAAATATTTTATAACATGGATCACTTAGACTGTGATGGAGATATGGATCAATGTAATACAATGATACTCCTTCAGCATCAGGATATTAGATGGAAAAACAAGTTTAAAGGTTTTGTTAATCTTCTTAAGCATCTGAGGTGGGATGTACAAAAAGGGGTTTGGTACTTAATTGTGAAACTTTTAAACATTTCAATAAGCCTAAACACTGGGACTCCGGGGAGTATCCAGGACCTGTCTCTCAGCTGGCCTGGGAACACCTCCGGATTCCTCCACATGAGCTGGGAGCTGCAGGAGAGTGTGTGTCTCTGTTCAGACTGCTTCTACTGCAACCCAGCGACAAATAAAGCAAAAGAAAAAGGATGGATGGAGTTTTGAAAGATGAATTTATTGCTAAACTCAAAAACCAGGTTTTTTTAAAAAAGAAAATTGTGAGTTAATTAAACAAGTTACCTTAAGGACAATATATGAATGCCTGGAGTTACAGAGAGTAGCCACTAGAGTACTCTCTTCACCACTGATTTATAGATCCTTAAATAAAGTGTTGGAGAAAAAAGTGGATTTTTCTCCCATTGAAGACCAACTGTCTTTGTTAAGTCAGACTGATGGATGCCGTCCTATAAGCACCAGTACACAAAACCCACAAAGAAGGAGAACTGACCATTCATCACTGATGTGTACATGCAAGTGGACATGTTTGCATTGTTTACGTGCCTGGTTGTATGTTACATAAGAGACGGATGAAAAGAGTTTTAAAGTAATGAGGGAGGAAATCCGTACCGTCGTCTGTGATGGGGCACTGACTCCAGGGGTCTCCATACTTCACATCCTGTCTCCGAGCTCTCCTGAAATACATGCACCAGTCACTTCATAATGTGGAAAGTACTAGATTGGACTAGCCCAAAATAACTTTTGCTCTTGTATCGGTACTTTGTCACTATAATATAGTTATTGCGAGTTTTAAATAATTGAAACATTTCACAAGCTTCATCAACGTTACACCGACCTTCCCTCTGTTTTTAAGTTGTTAATACATGTTTTACAGACAGTAGACTATGTTATATGAAAAAAGCGTAGATTTTTTCATACAACATAGTCGAACATAGCCCAACCACAGAAATAACAACTTTACAAAACTAAAGTCAAGAGCCCAGATTTATATTCAGGCCTAAATCACAATAGTTTATTAAACCAGTGACGATGAGTCCACTCTGTCTCATTTGAAACAGTTTGTCCTGTGACTGTGGTGCTCTCTGGGCGTGAACATGAGGCTCTAATGAGAGGACGGAGCACAGTCGGGCTATCCAAACACTCACTGTTTTCGTAGAGCTGGTTCTGTCCGAGCCGTCATGTCTCCTCCTGTTGTAGTTTGACCTTTTTGTGTTGATTCGTGAGACGTTTACAACTTTCTTCCAACTCATTGTCTAATCTCCCTAATTCGAGGTATTACCACGAGAGAGAGTGATGACGGATCACACCCACTGGTCTTGACTTACTTTTCTTGAGGATCCCCCTTAATGTTGATGCGCAGAAGATTGCATTTGGGTTGACGGTATTTTTTACTAATATATATATATATTTAACATTTCTGAGAGTAAGAAGGTGATCATATAACCGATTTTTTTTATCGGGGACCCTACAAAACAACAGATTACTTTCACCAAAGAAACCTTTTAAGACTGTTTACTAATTAACCAATAATATGTGATTTGAATTTGATGAAAACGTAGACATTTTGACCTGCACTGGGCATGACCGGTTCCATAACAAGTACAAACTTAAGTACCTTTTGCTCGTAGGGAAATATCTGGAGCAGGTCTGTCCGTCCCAGGAGCAGTAGGGGTCCCGCGCCAGGCAGCACTCGGCACAGTCGTCCCCGTACATCTCACACCTCTGTAAGGCCAGCTGCACCACGCCGCGCTCACTCGACACGTACAGCTGTTGCTACGGGCACAGGGGGAGAAGAGGCTTTAAAACCTGGCAACGCAAACTCTCTATCTGGTTTGGCTCTGGTCCCATCAAACCCCAAACCACCTGCAGTGCTTGGCCCATCACACTGTGGGATGGGTATTTTGTAAAGCAGGAAAACATGTATGACAGACTTATCACTTCAGTATTATTATATGAATATTTACCTAATCTAGCAGAAATGTGGACTTTTTGGTTGAACAAGTTGAGATTTAGTTTTCAAATTGGTGTATGTATCCCCAGCTGGATTTCAGTGACAGCCTTTCAGGTTGTATTTCTTCATTTAAGAGTGTCATAAGCAGAGTTTTGGGTCACACTGAAGTTTAGCCCTCACTAATTAACAGCTAATTAAGTGGTAAAATATATGATTATTCAGGAAGGAAGTAGTTAGTCCTTATTCTACACGGCCGTATTGAATGTCTAACTAACTAACTACTGACACTTTCCCATGTGGGTTAGAGTTAGGATTAGGATACACTAGTTGGTGCACTAATAAACGACTATTTAAATTAGCACTTACAGTAATTATCTGTTAATTAGTGAGGACTAATCTAAAGCGTTACGCAGACTTGTGCCCCTCCTTCCTCCTCTTGTGTGCCCACTCCCCTCCCTTTGCGTGTCCAAGAGCTTCCAAACTGCTTCCAATTGCCGGTGAGCTGCTACTGGTCGTTTCAATTTTGTTTTTCATATTTCTTTAGCTCGGGGCCAGTTTTTGAGCCACACTGTTTTTATTGTCTGGAGCAGAATTACGGACATAATTGACTTTTTTTTTCTTACGTAACATGAATGACAATGTGAAAGATTTACAGACGTTGAAGAAGTCAGGTACAAGTGGAATAAAGCATCTCCAAAATACACTTTTCTTCAGGATGTAAAGGCATAGTTTTTAATTCAGTATTTTAAAACAAGAATATTATTAGAGGGGCCATAAATGTATAAGATCAACAATAGCTTACTCTTTTGGTTGACAGTTCCATATTCAAGATCGGTGTAGGGCTCTGAAATCAGACATAGTGTTCATGATTAATAACACAATATTATACTTACTTATATTTACTGATACTTTCTTGAGTATTTGTAGATAGTGTGTCTAACTTTATAACATTGAGTGACTTTATATGTATACAGGTAAAACAATTTCTGTAATGGAACATATTTTGGAATAGCCTTTCCAGTGTAGAACATGGACACTTCTCTTACAATAATGATGCAGCTCACATAATCTCACCTGGAACACAGTGAGCTCCTCAAGGAAGATTTCTTCACTCTCCCAATTGTCTTTGATCACGGACACAGCCTTCACCACTTTACCATCATCTGGGAAAATAAATCATTCAGTTTATTATAATTACTATGTGCTTATACATTATTATAGGGCGGCACGGTGGCTGAGTGGATAGCACTCTCGCTTCTCATAAAGGTGCCACTAAAAACGTGCACAATAGGTATGAATGTAAATGACTGAGTGAATGGATGGTGTTGGTGGGAGGCTTTGATTGTGTGATGTCAATATCTGAACTTAAAATATTGTAAAGTGCTTTGGGTGACCTTGGTCTGTAAAAAGTATAATAATAAATGAATGCAAAGTTTGATAATATATATTTATGGTGTTGAGATGTTTAAATAAGTAGTAGTAAGCAGTAGTAGTAATCTTTATTTATATACCGCCTTTTCACTGCAGATCTGTGTCTCAAAGCGGTTTACAATTGTTAATTTTTTTTTTTGGGCATTTGTCTCTCACTCCACACAGAGATGGGAGCGGGGTCGCCAGTACAGGAAGCGCATGCCAGACCTATTGGACATATTTTTAGTGGTAGGGGAAACCGGAGTACCCGGAGGAAACCTACGCAGACACGGGGAGAACATGCAAACTCCACTCAGAAAGGCCCTGGTCCGACCGGGATTCGAACCCAGGACCTTCTTGCTGAGAGCCACCGTGCCGGAAATAAGGTCAGGAAATATGAGGACACTTATGTGGAAGTCAAAGTGTTCTGGGAGTTTGTGGAAATACTGCATTGGTCAAAATGGGATCAATTACAAGTCTGATGGCACTCATGCGTTCCCTGTTGAGGTTTAAATATATTTTCCATAAATTCACCCGAGAGTCTTCTGTGTGTGAGTATATATTATTGACATAATAATTCTGCAGTAAATACATGTTCACTAAACATTTCCTTGTAAATTGTAAAATAAATGTTAGCTCAAGGACCTGGCAGACAGTAGAATGACAACCTCCTGTAAATACATCATCTTCTTATGATCAAATAAACATATTTCCATATAAAGTCAGATCTACTTTAAGGTCACAGCCAGATCGCCAAAGGCCACCTTCTTCTGCATCATGGAAATAGTCCATATGAGGATGTCGATATGAAAATGAGAGCAACGTGAAGATTTATGACATGGTTGGAACTACCGCATACAGCTGTTACAGAGTGCAAGAAGCCAAGGCAGTTATCATTTTAGGTGCAAAATAAATCTGTCCTCAAAAGACATACGCCTAATGTCAGGAGACCCACACAGGAATCACTTGTTTGGCAGGGTCGTACTTATAGGACTCAATAAGTATCTTTCACATGGGTGTTTGTTTATATACATTTGTGTCTTCAGATGACTTGTCAAACAAGCAGACGGGACAAAGAACAACATATGTCTGGAGCAAAGCTAAAAGCAGTCTTTTCATATGAAACATGTGGTTTGTATAAATATTATGGAGTAATGGTGAGGCCACAGTGTTTCAAGTCATGTTCACTTAATACAAAACATTTAGCCTGGTATGTTTTTAATTACTTTTTTGAGCATTGACTGTCCAACTGTGTGCACTTATAAGGGGAAATAGCTATTAAAATATCAGTTACAAGGGATACCCAGATCCAGGTTACATGTCTGATATTGATACACAAGTCTATAATTTGGCTTTGAACCAATAACAGTGAAAGGACTGAAGCAATTTTCCCCTCAAATCACAGCTAACTCAAGGCAAAATAGGTTCAAAAAAGGTGTCATTCTTGGTTAATATCAACCTGTAAATGGTCCTATTACATCAATTGAAAAGGTCAATCAGAATACGGCCGACACCCAAGCCGATAACCTTTAACATCTGGACAGATATTTGATTCCAGTATTGTTTTGATGTATCCCTATTGTACATTTTTGGCACTCGAGCTTGTTAAGTTCATATTTAAGGAAACATTACATGGGGCTATTTGGTGTTCTTGATCTTGTGTGTGGGTATGTTCACAGGAAATGATCATATGTTTGATGAGAAAAGCAACATTATAGACTGCATCTGAACTTTCCTATTTTGATTTAGTCTCCTGTTTTAGATAGTTTAGATGGTAAGCAGAAGTCTTGTCAAATTGCTAAACTCAAAGAAAATGTATTTATAAAAGGAATTTCAATTGACTTTGAACTAGTGTCCTGAAGTGTGCATCATTGTGGGTAGAGGGAAGTACATTGACTGAAGTATAATAAGATAATAATCCCCGTAGGGCAATTCATCCTCTGCCTTTGACCCACCCTGATGCCACTACAGGGCGTCTATTAGGAGCAGTGGTCGCCGTAGTTAAACGTCCCGGGACCCATCTCCCGACATTGATGCTCAGCTTGGTCAGAGCTGGAAGATTTTATCTTTTGTTCATGTTTTTAGTGGTAGGGGAAAACGGAGCACCCCGAGGAAACCTAGGCACAGGGAGAATGTACAAACTCCACTCAGTCAGGCCCTGTTCTGACTGGGATTCGAACCCAGGACTTTCTTACTGAGAATCGAGAGTCCTATCCATCCGTCTTGACCAGTGAAACTTCTTACATCCTCCTTTCACAATTTAAATGAGTTCTGCCCCCACACAGGTCGGTGGTATATCATCACATGTGAGTAATAGTAATGTTTTTGAGCATGTACGCTTCAAGCCATTCACAGATAAGAAAGACTGACACAGCAGGTTGTAAATCCATCCTTTAGCAATAAGTGAAATCCTATTCTTCTCAGCAGCAGCACATTTCTCAGCAGGTACCATAGCGTTGATGAGGAGATGAGAGATGGTACAGAAGAATCCACTTAAAGAAGATTTATGGCCCTGTGTGACCCCCTGTGGCCCCTCGCCCTGTCACCACATGTTGAATAACCTCTCCATTTATCACCAAACACTAGGTTCTGTCAAACTGAGCCGAGCAGCATGTGTCTCTGCTCAATACAACAGATCTCTGCAGATGAAAACACCACAAACGAGAACATTAGATTTGATCCCGTTATAACATTACAGCTGTGTTGAAAGTGAGAAAAATGTTCAACTCTGAGAGAAAAACAAACGTTGGAGCTTTCGGAGGTCTGAGTTGATAAAATACTAAATAAACATAACGGACATAATCCTTTCACCAAACCTTTACACCTACCTACTCCACCCCATGATGATTTTTCATTATTTTAAAGATGTAGTCAATGATTTATCCAGACACAATTTAAAATACAGTGGGAATACATCTCTAAACCCCAAAAGTAGTCAAGTTATTATGTGTTTTTAAATAGGAATGGACATGACCAGATGCCTGTAGCCTCAACAAATGTAATCATAAATATTTTGAAGAGGTCCGATTGAACGAAACCAATGGGATGCGTTCGCCCCTCCCTGCTGCTTTTTGCGCACCAGTCTGAGCTGTTATTGAGTCGGACTTTCTCAAACTACAATGGCCAAAAGAAAAACCCCTCAAAGTGCAAATTTCACGTTCGCCACTTTCCCTGTTGCAGCAAAAAAGAGAAAATCAGATGAGAAGAAGGAGTTGTATAAGAAGACTCGGGACGCAGCCAGGGCTATGTAATGCAACGCCAGTCGAGTTTTGCTAATTGCTTGTTTGCTCACAGACTTGAGCGAACTTGAGCTGTTTTAATTTACATTGAGTTCTATGGGAAAAAAATTCTGGGTAGTCCACGTGAATTTATTCACGTGGTTGGAATACGTGACCCTAACCCTAACCCTAACCCAAGGTTGTGATACCCTATCCAGTTATTATAATAGATCAATGGCTGGGAGTTGGATTTGGTGGAGGGCAGGGGGAGGGGGTAGGGGGAGTGATTTTGAGTCAGTGCTACTTGGATGCTACTGCTAAGCTAGCCTGAATCCTTTAACAATTATTTTGAATGCAGTGATCTGTCATAATTATACTACAGACTTATTGACATTTGAGTCAGGGGATTCTCAATTTTGGATATTCTATTTTGCTTGGTACCATATATTTGTTTCAATTAAAGATGCAGTAAGTGATTACTCGCCTCCACACCAAAGCAAACATCCAGAATTTTCTTTTCTTTGTCAAAACAGGGAGAATGGGTGGCAAACATGAAATTGGCCTTTTCTGTTCATCCCTTTTAAGGTTTTAGAAAATATGATCTGATATGAGCTCTGGTGGGCGCAGTCTCAAGGAACTGGAAGAGGGTGAAGGCGGGTAAACGCATTCCATTGGTTCGTTAAAGATGAACAAATCCCATTGGTTTATTTTCATCAGTTCGCTCCAAAATATTTTTTATACATTTTTGAATTCTGATCTATTCCATTACTATTTGAAAACACATGACAACTTGACTACTTTCAGGGTTTAGGGACGTTTTCCCACAATATAAAAAAAAATGTGTCTGGAGAAAATCACTGAATGCATCTTTAAATACTGTACATCAGTTGGCAACATGGATTCTGATAGAAAAGGGGAGTTTGTTTCAGTATAAAAAGGGACTGGTGCTTTGTAAATTGGGTGGCAGCATTCCCCTGACCGTGTAATGAATAAATAAATGATGAAAATGAAATAAATAGTAATTCTTCAGTCTATATATGGTGTTTTTTGGCTGTACCTGTCCCCAGATGAAGGACGTCGTAGGGCCCGTCCTCCGCGTCCACCCGGTCCACCACGAGCTTCTTCAGCAGGTTTGAAGAGTTGACCCGTGTCAGGATGGGTCTGCCCCCTAGTGGCCCCACAGGCTCCCACATGAGCTGGTGCTGTCTCATAAAGCTCACCACCTCGTCCGGTAAGTCTTTGGTCGACTTATAGAGTGCGTCGTACGTCTCACTGGGACACTGACACAGGGAGCATATGCAACAGTGAGTGATTATTAGGGGTTATTAGGGCAAAAAGATCTTGCAAATATCTTAAAAAATAATGATAATGATTTTATTATGCTGGGCAAGATTTATATAAATATAGTGCAAAAGAATAGAGAATTGACTATGGAGAAGTAAGCATTATACAATATATTGATGATAAATATAGTTTGATTAATTATTTTAAGGACAAGGGTTAGGTTATTTATCATTTTTGATTCATGGATTTTTATTTATTATGACTAAGCAGCACAAAATTGCAACTTTTCTGATTTCAACTTGAGAATTTTACCCTAAAATACTAAAATAACAACAATAATAGAAGTCAGTGTAATTATAAATACATAGAAATTACATAATTCCTTCCAAAGTGGAGCAGAGGAGCTGAAGTCACTGGTCTGGTAGTTATTACACATCTGTGCACCGAGCCAGTGACACAGCTGACTGCTTCATTTAGCTCCCAATCACTTTGGGCCAAAACCTTTCCCCTTTTAGACACACTCACATGCACTTAAACCAACACTGGGGAGGTCGGCATGCTGCACCATCAAACCCATGATACTAAACCTGCTCAGAGAGAGGTTCATCCCACTGGGGGTGTCCAATAACACCCCCAATAACACCCCCAATGCACCACAGTGTCCCAGCGGAGAACAGGGTTACCGCTAAAGTCACTGAGCTCCACTCTCTCAAGGCTGCAGCAGCTTGTTCTTATTAGCTTCACTTTAACCACAGTACAATCTGCATTAGCAAACAAAAATGAATGAGCTGTTTTGGTGATGAGTTTAAGATGTAAAAGTAGAGACTCCCAACTTGTCATTATCGGAAATGAAATGCTAAGCTTCTAATATGTGTGTGGGTGAACGGGGCATGAAGAGACAGAAACATTGGGTGGTTGAGAAGCTTTCATCCAAATTTGTGTTAAAGCTGCAGTACCTAGTATATGTTTATAGCTCATAAATGATACAGTTTCGTCCAAACATAAAGGTTTTCTGAACAATTCAGACCATAATATGCTGTTTTCATCTCACTAAAAACATGTTATCTTTTGCAAAATTGTAAAAAGAGCCCTGTGAGTCACTGTTTGAGCAGAGAGCTAATTGGGTTAAAACTCTTAAGATGTAACAGAGGCATAAACTATATTAATCTAAAACAAGTGATGGAACCAAACAGTTCTGAGAGTGAGAAAAGCATTACATGGATTTTTTTACTTTTTTTTTTTTTTTTAAGAAGAGTTTGGTACGCCAGCTTTCAAAAATCATTAATTTAAATTCAAAGTCATGGAGAGCTGAGGGTAAAAGCTCACAAAGACTATAGTTTCTTCAGCCATAGGAGCTTGTTCAAATCAGATGCAAACCAATGAAAACACAACATACATTCACCCACAGTGATAAATTTCTGTCACACTAACAATGTCAAGATTTATGAACTGTTTTCAGCTTATCGTGTTCTACCCCCTGCGTGCGTTATCAGCAGGAGAAGCATTCATGTGTGAAATATATTGTGCAAATCTGAATTTATGGTACATTACTTCAACCAGCATACAAGAGCCCCTCTGCAGAATCTGATTTAATTCATAACATGCACTGGTAAACTGCAGTAGAGACATGTTAGAGTCAGATATTCTTGAGAGTCAAATACACTTTAGTTTGTACAAAATTCTATAAAATTAGCTACTACATTAAACACATTTTACTCTAAGGATTTAAAGTGTTCGGGTTAGGGTTGCTCACTTTGCTCATTTTACGGGCGGTTATGACATTGGTTTAGGTAGAATCAGAAAGCATTGAGACAGAAAGTGTATTCAAATGTTAAAATCTACTAAATATTGATACGGTGATGATATGTTCTTCTAAATGTAGTTACTCACAGTGCCTGGTCTGGGATATGGAATGCGGCCCTTGTACTCCACCCAGCGATAGTCAGGGCCCTCTTTGTGAGCGAAGGGCCCATTGAAGGCAGCACGGATTGAGGCCATGGAGTAAACACACACCGCCGAGCCACGGAAGATTGAGCTGCAGGACGAGAGTGGGACTGATGTTACCAAAGACAGTCTTAAATGAAAAGCATGTCCTGCCTATTGATTCGTCGACAAAAAGGGAAGCTTGATCGGACCAAAACTGTACTGTCAGCGCAGGTATATTTGCCAAAACTCAGAAAGTTAAAAAACAAAATATGAGTTATGAATGTTATATACAATTAATATGTCTCACAACTCCTTGTATCAAGCAGAAAGGTATCATTCATGAAGGTACAAAAATGTAAAACGTGGCCTTCTTTAGTTTTGAATGATTGCAGAGGAATGCTGTTTGGAATGAGACATCAGACTATAGAGGGCAGACTTTGACCCAACACTCGCCCACTTTTGCCCTCTGAACACCCACACAGTTCAGCATCTGCACCCTTTCCTCTGGTGCCTTCACAGCTTGGTCCATAATATTCATGTTAAAATGAAATGACTAGGTTTAGAAGTGAACACATGTATCGTTAAATCAATATACAACAGCTTTCTTTTGCTCTGAAGCTCCCAAAAAGTAATCTAGCCGAAAGAATTACTATTCACACAAAATACCTGGATGTGCTGAAGACTCCGTAGATGGTGGGGTTCTGTGGGTCCTTAGTCTCCAAAACAAAAATGTCCTCTAAAAGATGACAAATAATGAAATGATAAAAGCATCGTAAAAAATAAAATGTATAAAGTCATGCCATGTCTACCACTTAAGCTACAGGTTACTTGTATGGGTTACTCAACGTGTCAAAACTCAGAATCCTTTTATTGCATGTGAGTAACAAGAAGTCACAAAAAACGATGTTATATATTACTTATTCAAGTGAAGTATGTGTTGGCATCATGGGCGGACAGTTGGGGAAGGAAAGGAGGAGATGATACAACTCTTGAAAGTCAAAGGCCGCGCAGATGGAGGAAACAAGGGTGGACAGAATCAGGGCTTTTCCAAATTACAAGGGATTTTTTCTTTTTGTTATTCATAAATATGTATTTCTTGGCGCTTCAGTTTTCTGTTTTTCTTGAGCTTGCATGCAATCGCTGTCACCGCCTCTTGCTTCTTAAATGTCCAATGAGATTTGTGGTGTTAAATGATTTTCTAGCAGTCTCTCCTCTTGAAATCTCACTGGAACACGTGCAAACTGCAAAATGCTGATCTTTTTCTGATACTGTAAAATATTGCCACACGACCGCCTCCATCTTCTTTGTTTCTTATTATTTAGTCATTTATTTGGATCCCCATCAGCATCCAAAAGTGGTCGCTAGTCTTCCTGGGGTCCTTCTACTGAGGAAAGTGCCCTCTAACTGTATCTCTTCGGACGCGCATTTCATCGGTGAATATCTATATTTAATACTTTGTTAACCGATGGTGGATGGAAGTTAACAAGGCCAACATTGCTCGATACTGATGTTCAGTGGATGCCTCCCCCACTGTTCTCAACGTGTGGTTAAAGTACAACTGCAAAGGCATAAATTAATGAAACATCATCATTTTTTGCAATTATGAAAATCCTGATCAAGTGTAGATTTTGTTGTTCTTTTCTGAAGTTGGAGAACTTCTGAAGCTGAAGTTGGAGAACTAATGAGTTATGTCATTTGAAGGGATGCTCCCAGCTCAAAAGTGGCCAAAATGACGTGCGCTGACATGCTTGCAATACCACCCCGGGCCGATGGGGGTGGACCCAGAAGTAGAATTGGCCAATGCTAACATATGGCATTGGCAGACCTCTCAAAAACGTCTTTACAGGATGGACCAAAAGTTGGCTCTTGGCCCAAAGCTCCGTTCCACATGTGTGTCAATGCTGAGGGGGGTGAATTTTTTTGGTCCACTCTAGTTTACTTGCTATGAATTATAGAACTCTCTCGTTCAAATGAATGGAGTTCATTTTTTAGCCCATTAGTTAGAACGGCGGAGATAGGCGTGACTCTGTCCGTTAATATATACAGTCTATGGTTGAGAATCAAATGTGTAAGAGAACAGTTATTGCCAGTAGAGAGGAGAAAGAAGTTTACCAAGTTCATCAAACTGTGTGTCCACTCCGGAGGGTCCTGGGATGGAGCAGACCAGCCGGGCTTTCAGAAAAGTAGTCCAGCGGTTTATCAGGCTCCTCTTACCACCAACATCATTCTGGAGTTGCCATTAACACAAAGACAAATTTATTTTGATTACTGTATATATTTTACATCTCCATCTTCTATAGCACAAATATTAAACATAATAATTGAAGCATTTTTATTTAAAATAAAACATACTAACACACACAAAAAACTAGAGCCCAACAATACAGAGTTTGTTGTGTAGAAACAAACTTATTAATGTTCAAGTAGATGTGGATTGCAGGAAGTTTATGAATGGTTGCCAGATGTTCTGAAATGATGAAATATTATCTTTTGATAAATATCTAATTCTTTCAACACGAGTAATATCTTTTTTGTGGTTATGAGAGAGTAAAAAATAATTATTAAGTTATATTAAGTACGTTTTTGCCGTTATTGTAGTACTGTACCTTGCAGACCCGAGCCACTCGACTGTAGACCTTCTTGTCCCACTGGCCGGCCTCCGCTGCTCTCTCTTTGAAGAAGAAGTAAACTTTATCATCGTTGGAGCTGTGAGTGTCGGGGATGGAGAAGGAGTCCACAAACTCAGGCTCTGGCAACACAAATGTTATATATTTAGCATTAAGAGGCCAAGCAAAAGGGAGGTACTTTTACGGACATACAGTTGTGCTTGAAAGTTGACACACCAGGGCCATATTTTCTGAGCACTGATGGATGGTGGTGGTGTGAAGCCATTTTTGTCAGATTAATGTGTTTTATATTTTCTACTCAATAAAAAACTGTAACAACTTAAATTACCACGTGTAGAAGTTATTTTTCCCCCAAAACAGAGCGTGCGAAGTTAGCACACATTCCTGCTTCAGTGTGTTTATGTGAACAGCAGACAGACACAGGACGTTTTATGAGATTAGAAATATTGTCAAGGGTTAATGGACTTATCATTCTCACTCCATCAAGTTTTAGAAGGAATGTTATTCAAAATGGATTGGATTTACCAAAGTTCTTTAATCATCATCAATAATTCATATATTCAAGTGTGGACGATACGTGTGTCATGGTGTGGATTTTTATTTTTGTACTTTGGTTTTATTTTGACATAAGTTTGGTTTTAGTTGTACTTCCTGTCTTGTTCCCCTGTGTTGATGGTCTGCCCCGCCCTGATGTGTTTCACCTGTGTCTGTGTCTATATGTACCCAGTGCTCCTTTCCTCTTGTTGCTGGTTCATTGTATTGTCTGTCCTTGTCAGTCTGTGTTCTTGTTTGGATTTTGTTTTCATCTTGGACTTTTATTTGATTTTTATCATTAAACCATTTTTGTTTTTCGCATTCCTGCATTTTGAGTCCTCCATCACTTCACCTCATGTCAACGTGGGCCAAAAAAATGTACTTTCTTTTCAATTTCGTCTAGTGCAGTTTCTATACAGGTGCACTCAATAGTCCAGCGAGTACTATAATGATAATATATATGTATACCATTGAGCCAGTTGTGGTCGTAGGCCTCAGTGCGGATATAATGTTGGCTGCTGCCGACAAGCGAGGTGCGGAAAATGGCGGCGTTCGCTCCCATGAAATCGACCGAGGTGCCTGAGTACAGCTCCCCATCTGCAGGAACAAGACAAATACGCACAAATCAGACATGTTGCGCTGGGAGCACTGAAATATTACCTGTTTCAAATCCCTGCTGAAAAGAACTATTTAATCCTTAAGGAAATATACGCCTCTTGCTCCAACTCCACCTGTAATGAGTCTCAAAGCAATACTTAACATTCTCACACATAAACTGGTTTGATGGCCCTAAGAAAGCAATAAAATAAATTATTGCTAATAGCATCGACCCCGCCTGAAGTAATATATCAACTGTTGAACTCAAAATAATGTATATATTTATGACAATTGTACTTTTTAGCTTGTTTTATTTTATATATCTACCTGGTGTGCACTTGGGTACTGTTGCACGTGTATTCCAATGTGGTTTTACTGCAAATGGCAAATAAAATGATAATAATACTCATATACTGATGTTGTAAAATCAGCTCTTTTAGCGTCACAAATAAATCTGTTTTAATCATACAATGTTATGGGAAAAATCATTCTTGGTCTCACAAGTTATTTAAGAAACCGTTTAAATTCATTGCGTTAATTAAAATGATTTCAATGTGTGTGAGAAAGCAGGAAATTACTCCGCAAACCGCCACATTAACTTATACAGCAATTGAAAACTAGGCTTACTTAATCTTGGTGCTACAGTATATTAAATCAAACATACACAAATGGTCCAAATTAACAACAATTGATGATATGTATTGTTATTGTGCTGCATTATTCACAAACGATTATGTTAGCAATGGCTTTAGAACGCATTTTTCCACCAGAATCTCCTCCTACTAATAAATCTAATGAGTGACAGCCTTAAGTACAGGCTTTAAACGTCTACAAACCTGGCATCAATGAACGGTGTTAAGACAAACATCGATATAAGGGCGACCGCGTTGTTTTGCTGAACGAGTTTCAGTTTTATACAAACCACATGGGAGAAATAAAGCATCATTAAAGTGATTAGAGTTGAGTCATTTTCTGCTGGGAAAGTGTATGGACTGAGCACGCAAAGATAGTGCTGCTGTGACTATGGGGAGTTTCACAATGGTTGGTTCAGTACACACTCAAAATAAGAATACAGTATATCACACAAACAGAACAGATAAATGACTGTAGTTCAAACTATTTAAGATGAATTTTGCAGATTTTGGTTTTATCTCACCATCCTGTCAAATTGATTTATTTCTGTGTTTCCATGCCAAATCCATTTTGACTTTTGACCGGATTCGCAGCATTTCTTGAACGGAATCAGTTACTTTTGAGACTGAAACCTTTTGAAGACAAGCACTGCTTAGTCCATGCCATATGAATGTATGTAAGTATAGTAAGTAAGTGAGTAATCTTGTTGTGGGCATCTGTCTCTCTCTGGAAAGGAGGATGTTTTAGTGGTAGGGGAAACCGGAGCACCTGGAGGAAACCTACGTAGACACAAGGAGAACATGCAAACTACACTTAGAAAGACCCTGTTCCGACCGAGATTTGAAACCAGGATCTTAGCTGAGAAGCAAAGGCCTTATCCACTCAGCCACCGTATGTGATATTACCAACTCATTCAGATTTTTGACTGCAATGAATCCTCTATAGCTAATGTCACCTCCTGCTACTTCCGCTAACACACCCAGATATCGTCTCAGAAAACTGAACATATTTCTCATAACCACAATTCTGTCTCACCTTGGTACTGAAATCAGAATACTGCGTTTACGTGGCCACACAAAGAACCAGGAGACACCATCGACAGCTGGGATACTCGAGCGCATGTTAACGTACGCCTTGACAAATTGATTTGAATACAACTTTTTTGCTTGCGCCCCGTTTTTATGAAAAGTGACCCTCTTACCTGCAATCAGATGCCTGCCTGTTACAGACAAGAGCCTGCTGAATACATCCTACTGCTAATCATATTCAGTGTTAGATAATAGCTTTAAGTGATCTGTATTTACAAAAGACGCTCATGCCGTTAAAACAAAATCATATATTACATTATTTATATCTTCTGAAAAGTCCATTCTCCCGACTTTGTTTTGCTTCCAGTGTTGGGCGAATGTTTAACATCCCATAAATTGTGGCTCTGTGGTGTTGTGAATTTGATTTGGTTTGATCTGCTCCCCCGCGCAGTTTTCTCATGCAGCGAAACTTGGGTACAACTCAGACGAAAATGACATCGCAAAAACTCGGGCGATTGAGCCATTTCAGAGGCCGGTTCCACCTCCAAAGTGCTTTCTTCTACATTTGTGTGAACTAAACATCCCTCTATCTGATATCATAAATTCTGCTTTGTCGCTGAGATGTTTCTAGCCCTATTCTCTACTCAGGAAAAACGGCCCCAGGACGCTCCGGTCGCCACTATTCTATCAACACTGTGACACAAAACACAAAATATATGAAACCTCCCCTTCACATTCACTTGCATTGTTGCAAAGCTTCTTAATAGTACATCTATTGTTATCCTCCTGAGAAAAAGGGATGGTGATTTTCAAGCATTGCATACATATCTATCATAGGGTCCTTTCTGTATCTTGCATGAACGGGCCAAAACCCCAAAAATAGGCAGATGTCTTTGGCTTCTCCGCATCTGTTTCCCCCTAAACTTTCTTCTCAAAGTACATTCCCAAAAGTAAAGAAGGTTCACTCCGAATTACAATTAAATTCATTGTATTGCAGCCCTTTTTGTTTTCCCGCCGAAAGTCTTACAGAAATAATGGGAGTTAGCCTGCTGGACAAAGCCTGTCTAAAATGCCCCTTATAAGCAACGAAAGGCAAAAATGGTATTGACATTACATTGGTGCGTACAATAATAAACAAAAAAACAATTATATTTCTTTCAAAGCAGCAAAAAAGTGTGTAAATTCCTACCCATTACTCCACGGCTCATTCTTACGTCAACATTTGTAGCATACATTATTTGAAATGTGTTAATAAAATGAAACAAAAATAGTTTTGTGTTACTGACCCACTTTGAACGCTTCGTCAAAAACATTTCTCAAACTTTTGCCCGATCTCGAGTATTAGTGTCTTGTTGTGGACTATGATAATTCATGCAAGTTTTTTATCTTTTTTTTCTCGTTTGATCAAAAACATGCCATCATGCAAGTCATTTCTATGCATTTGAACAAGCACATTATGTTTGGAAATCGTTCGGAATAAATGTTAGGTTTAAGCCCTTGGCCCGCAGTTGACCCCCTATAATATTATTATCAACATTAATAATAATAAAACAGACCCTTTTAAACCAATTGGTGTGAAAGCCCATGTAAAAAAGCTCTTGGATGTGGGTGTAACAAAGATCGGATGGCTGTAACAGTAACGTGACATGGGCAGAGTTGAAGTCTTTTTTTTTCATTGCATTTTGCTGCATAAATTAACAACTTCTAGCACTACGAAAACAAAAAAAACCTCTCAGAAAGTCTGCACTCTCGATTGCATCTTCCGCTCACCGACCCTTTGTCCTTCCATTCAAACGTGCCTCTTGCGTTGGGCTTGTATCGAGAAGAGGCCGTAGTCCCCACACATGCCATCGTCTTCCATAGGAATCCATTACTCGCATTCGAACAATAAATACATCGTTTTTTTCTCCCGTCAAACTCATTCATGTTTGTGGCGAGTGAGCGATCCTCCTATAATCCTGTGTATGGAGTAGGTATATCCCTCTAATAGTTTATAGTCAAGGAACCTCAAATGCCACACAGTATGCTGAAGAAGTTTCCGAGTCGCGTTCTCCCTTGCATAAATACAAGAATCGTAAACAAAATTTCTTGAATATTATTTTCTCGGACTTGCAAATTAAATCTGTACATCTGTGTGAGTGAGTTTCCTCGTTGCTTGGAGTTAATATAGTTATAATTTCCAATGTTATTACAAGCGTCAGTCGTGGAGGATCCCTTTAGCATTTTGATTCCCTGATGTCTTTTTGGTTTCGGCCTTTTTCCTTGCGCCCGCCCTTGTCCTCCGCGTTGTCTTCCTGTTTTCCCGGTTTGGTCACGCTGTCGTAAGAAGGCAGGGAGGCAGTAGACGGAGTTCCCTCTTTCTTCTCTTGATTGTCCTCGTTTTCGGGCTTGTTTTTGACCGGTTTGCGCTTGCAGACGAAGCCACGCCTGGCCAGATACGAGCGGTAAGCCCTCTGGATGACCCTGGCGGAGACTTCCTCTTGCTTTCGCCGTAAAGTGGTGGTGATGGGCTCGTAAGACACTTTGGAAGGGTTGGCCGCAACGAATCGCTCCTCCATCTGCTGCCGAAGCATGTCTAGCTCGCCGCTGTCTCCCAGGACTCGCTTAGTGAAGGCAAAAAGGATATCGAGGCAGTGGATGCGGTCGCCACTCACCTACGGATGTCAAGAAGGGGACTGTGTTAGTGTGAAGTTATAACTGACCAGTTCACTGTGTCTTTGGATCACAATAAACAATGTCTTAGAATCTTTCTTTCAATAGTTGGTATTTAAGGCTCAGAATAGGTCTCTTTAAAACATTTCTCTTGTGACTTTGGGATGACCAAAAAAATGTATGTCTTCTTGTATTCCACATCCTAACCATACATGGCGGCAAGGACTGCAAATGCAAGGTTCCTTTGTACACAGATGAATGATACCCTCCACCGATTAAATAGTGATTTGTTTGCCAATGAATTAAATATACAATGTTCTTCTTATCTCAATTTCTACATAAATCCCTTCATGCATGGGGGTATGATTAGGGGACAACGTTTTATGGGCCCATTGCGTGCGTCATTGTGTGAAATAAGTCTACTGGACCACACACTCTTCAGTAGCATGCTCTGAGCTTGGACTGAAGCGACATTGTTCAGTGTCACACATAACAGAATATGAATGTGGCCGTTACAGCATGTCAGGAGGATATTTAAAGCCTTCTCAGTGGCCTGTATTTGGTGGAGTCAGAACGTACCAGTCAGACGTGCAGCGAAAGGCTCTTTTGGACTGAAGGGACACTTTCCTTGGCCTGACTCCTCCGAATGGGACAGCATGAACAACGGCTGCTGAGGCGAGATAACAGAATGCATTAACAAGTTATTATGAAATATGAGGCCAAAAGAGCGTACAGGAAGCATTAACAACGATCATGGGACTTCTAAATGTTTTTGAGTCAAGCGTCCAAGTCTGAGTTCAGCCAGTGTCCAGTAAGGTCAACTTTTATAGGATCTACAAATTGTGACCTAGGGATGACTGTAGTCTGCTTGTAAAATATACAATCTACTTTCACTGACTAAATATAGAGTGGAAACCCTCACTTGAAGTTATTTTGACCATAATTACTTTGGTTCATTAACTATTTTACTGATACATTTGTTTATACTCATATTTTCTTTTTCTCTAGGGATTGCTGCATATAGATAGTATAAAGCTGCATTAACTGACTTTATTTTTGTATTCATTACGAAAGTGCTATCCATGTCCATGCAGTGCATTGGGATAAACGTCCTTTTGAAGAAAAAGTAGCGCAGATTTGGCGTGACATTATATTTTAGATCGAGTTTTGATGAAACAAGGAAGAGAATGTGTTTTGGGTCGCAGATTGTGACCAATCACAGCGGACCACTGGCCCCCACTTTCGTGAGAAATCTACAGGTCTCTGTTATCACAGACGGCTGAGTTAGAACAACAAGTGGCGGAGCTAACCTGAAGCTTCGTGTCTTCGTCACCGGTTACTGCTTACAAAGCGAGACAGCCATTCAAAAAGAAATGCTTTTCCCGGTTCTATCGTTCTATGGTCACGCCATCCACGTGCAAATCCATATCCATGTATTTATCCATATTGGGAGACGCTAGCTTCGTCAACAACAGTGGGTGTGTGTGGGGGGCGATAGCTTCATGGGTGCGGGGAGGGGAGCAGAAAGAGCGAGGCCAGCGAGTCCGCGGCTTCAAAATCCCAAAGTCAGTTAGTGCAGCTTTAAAATTGCTAGCTTCTATATTATGTGATTTTCATTATAATCAGCTATTGTTGAGGACGAGAGCTGCAGAATATCTCGTTATTGTGCAATATTGATATTATCGAAGTGCAATAACTTTATGTATCAAGTGGGTTTTTTCAAGCATAAGTTTTGCCATTTTCTGCTAAAGTTCACAGACGTGTTACAGTGGCTGAAGAGAACAAAACACAATATGCCGGGAGAAAAGATGAGTGACTACTGCACTTCTTAAAGGAATAGTTCACCGTTTTTACATACTGACATATGTTCTTACCTTACCTTAGACTAGTTAATATGTACCTGTCTGGTCTTAGTCCGTGCGCTCTGTCATGCAAACGGAGCAAAAACGGGAGCACAACCGCAACCTCCTCTGTATATTTTGTAGCACCAAAAGGTAGCTCCCACTAGAAGCTACCAAACTCTTCCAAGTGTTCCCTATTAAATGTATATAGTTATGTGACGTGTTACACTGCAAAGTATAGTAACACAGAAATGTAACAGTCGATTTTGTCAGCGGATAAAACGGGTACTATATTGTGAGGCGTAGTAATCTGAGGTGCGCTACGTCCGCGCACTAACTTCTCTCCGTACTACAAGTCACGCTGCTTCTATTGACGGAAGTGAGCGAGAGAGAAGTCTCCGGAGAGAAGTTAGTGCGCGGACGTAGCGCTACTCAGATTACTACGACTCACAATATAGTACCCGTTTTATCCGCTGAGAAAATCGACTGTTACATTTCTGTGTTACTATACTTTGCAGTGTAACACGTCACGTAACTATATACATTTAATAGGGAAAACTTGGAAGAGGTTGGTAGCTTCTAGCGGGAGCTACCTTTTGGTGCTACAAAATATACAGAGGAGGCTGCGGTTGTGCTCCCGTTTTTGCTCCGTTTGCATGACAGAGCGCACGGACTAAGACCAGACAGGTACATATTAACTAGTCTAAGGTAAGGTAAGAACATATGTCAGTATGTAAAAACGGTGAACTATTCCTTTAACATGAATAAGGATTTCTTTGGGGAAGGACTGTACACTATGGCATATCACACTTATTTCCAACTTTTTGCAGAAAGTAAAAAAGAGAGAGAGATAGGTTATGAATACTTACCTCACTGTTATGTCCGAGGTGGAGGTAATTGCATTTAGGATGGTAGGCCCCGGTTCCACAAGCGTAAATGTGGGTTTTATTGAATGGCTGCAGTAAACGCACAAAGTTGGCACACTCGGTCTGGAAAAAACAAATATTTGCAATGAATTTAGTAAATGAGCCATTTGTATTGCAGTGTCTAGTAAACATTCATGCACATCATCAATAAAACAAAAGGTTAGAATTCCAAAATAACTTCAGCAAAACAGTTAAAATATACAGAGTGAGAAATCCAGTTTGACTAATGAATGGCAATGCTGATGTGACATGTGAGAAAGCTGGTTCTCATTATGCTAGACTCACCTCCAGGCTCTTCCCCGCCAGTCTGCAGTGTTCAACATGCTCCTTTGCTGCTGGCCAGTAAATCTGAAAAATAAGTAAGTAAGCAAACACATCCTCTTGTAAGGATCCATATTAAGATTATGAGACAAATGATTACCATCTACATATTTAAATTAGTTATTTTGACACAACATTTGATGAGGGAGCGCTAACATGGTAAAATCTCGTGAACTTGACGTACAGTGCGTGTGGGTTGGTCCAGGCTGTCTGGCTTCAGCAGATAGATGTGGTCTTTGCCTCCCACAAGCAGCCAGCCCTGGTCCTCGTCCAGCAGCAGGGCCTGGTACCCTCCGCTGACCCCACCCTCCCAGAAGACCGCCGAGCCATTTCTCAGCTCTGAAACAAACAGGGCCAGGAAACACGTTTTGAAAATGAAATATAAAGAATGCATGAAGAGCCCGGAGACATCAGGAACAAAAGAAGGGACACCAAAAAAGGATACACAATCATTGGAAGTTGCTGCCTTCACTCAGCCACCATCTCATGATAAATATATATATGACATTCAGTATGTCATTAGCTTAGAATTTCCATAGTTGACTTTACTGTATTATGTGTATCTATTATTGATGAGCAGGTCATTAAATCCAGCGAGACTTGAATTAATTAGAGCAACCTATAAAAGTGCAAGTCTGACAAAGACGTGTCAAAGCAGGTCTCAAGTCTGATTCTTTGAGGGTCATAGTTTACAACTGGCTCAGCCTCGCACCAGGTTTAGTCTCTGGGGATGTTCAGCTAAAGCAGACAGAGCAAATGATCCCTGAACCCCCTCGGAGTGCTTAAAATGCTGCTTTTTCTGTTATTGCCATCTGTAACACCTTTAAACAATTATAGACTCTGCACACAGCATTGCCCTCTATAGATGAAGTTTTGAAAGAAAACAAGAAGAATGTGATTTCAAGTCATTTAGTTTAAGTTACTTTTACACAAATTGTTGATCTAGTGATGACCTCCAGTTGCAAGTGTTACTTTGGGGACAAAATGGTAAATTAACCTTGAAATTCTTGACTTTTCCTTTGTCTGAACCCGCCCTCCGCACATCAGTCAAGGCAGCGCTGCAAATTAACCATGCCATTCTTTAAGACCGCCATGCTTTCACTTGTGACTACAAGTGTCTTTAAAACCACCTCCACAATGGAAATCCACACGCCACATTTGCTGCACATCATCACCACATACGGACATTTAAAAGCAAATCAATCACTTCTTTGACAATTACATTTCTATCACAAGACACACGGACGCTCTAGCACAGCCGGACAACAGAGCAAGCAGAGGGTGAAAGAGAGCTTTTGTTTATTGAATTTCATGACGTCTTAAAAATGTCATAGCTCCGGAAAAAGAATATAAAAATACATTGATATATTGGCGTATGAGGGTAAAAACGTCAATCATCTGTTATACAAAATAGCACAAACTGGTGCATGGAGAAGAACTTTACACAAAAAGCCACTAGCTTAATCAGAATCAGAATCAGAATCATTTTTATTGCCACGTAAGTAACAGGAGGTCACACAGACTAGGAAATTGCTTTGGCTCAGTGCAACAGTCAAAAAGAGATAATAAAAATAACCCCATTAGCATCAAAGCCCATGCCAGTATAATACATGAATATAAAGGGCTGTCTAATATTTGTTTTAATGTCATTATTTTTTAAATATCTGATTAAAATGATTTCAAAATAAAGCATCACATTCATAGAAGTGGTCTCATAATCAGCCCATGCATGCATTATTTATGAATAGGTTAATTCTAGCTTGGCTGTGGACCACCTGAGCAATTGCATACAGATTCAACCCAACCATAAATACTGAGCCCCATAACACATTGTTCAAGCTATTATCTCTTGCAGTGATGTAATTTTTTAGATTAAATGATTGTTATTCATTACAAATATAAACTACAACCCTCAAGAATAAAAGTAGGTCCTTGAAGATAGGGCTGAAACAACTAATCAATTAATCGACGACTAATCGATTATTGAAATAGTCGACAACTATTTTAGTAATCGATTAATCGTTTTCTGGTTCACACGGACTCAAACAGAGCAAAAATAACATGAAAATGTAGTATTTTTGATTAAAACCGACTTTGTTTTTATAATTTAATGAATATCTGTCTGTCTCATCCAATCAGAGCAGAATTAGCACAAAGAGCCTGTTACAAACATTTACTTTAAGTTTACGCCATCAATACGTCCTCGAGTGTTGCCACTTTAGCTTTTTGTGATGAAAAAATTTTTTTTTTCTACACAATTCACAGCCAAGCGATTACTCAATTAATCGTAAAAATAATCGATAGATTAATCGATTACAAAATAATCGTTAGTTGCAGCTCTACTTGAAGAGTTCCCAGCAGTGTCACAATACATTTCATGCGCAATCTACATTAGACTAAAAATGAATTACATGTATATCATTTAAGTGCAAATCAAAAAGATCGGCTTGTGTGGTCAGGGTCAGGGGTCAGGTTAGCCACGTGCTGATTACACTCTTCTCTGGACCACGCTCAGCTCCATGTAACGACCCCTGTGCTGCTTCTCCTTCGGTCATGCTTAGTCGCGAAGGCTAATTGCTTCTGATTGGTCAATGTTGATGTGGATTATGCCTGATTGGTCACTGGCATGGGGTCACAACCTTCGCACTGATGTGATTGTGAGGAGAGTGCGTCTGAATACCAGGATGTTTGTTTTGGGAGCGTGAGGTCAGCAAAGTGAAACCAAACGGTGATTCGGTGAGTCCTACACGGAAGTCAATCTTTTATAGGATTTGGAATAGGTCGCAGCAGTGATGAGAAACAGCTGTAGGCTACGTACTATTGAAAAATATGAAATTCACTTTGGACCATACTTGCATGGGATCAAAAGTACAAAGAGACTTAAGAAAAACATGTAAGTAAGTAAGTAATCTTTATCTTTCACATACCAGAGTCACATAGAAGAGCTTTACAAATGTCTTTTTTTGCATCGTCTTTTTGTTTTGTAGGGGAAACCGGAGCACCCAGATGAAACCTACACAGACACGGGGAGAACATGCAAACTCCACTCAGAAAGGTCCTGTTCCGACTAGGATTCAAACCCAGGACCATCTTGCTGAGAATTTTTTTTCACAGCCCCTAAATCTTGTTATTGTCTTGTTATGATTCTCAAATCATTAATGACAAAAAAGAATACAATGAGGATTTCTATTGGGGACCTTTGTGAAAAAAAGGTGTTGTTTATAGATTTGTTGTTCTCTTCTATTAGATATTATGAGCCGAGCTGGATATCTGGCAACCTGAGACAAGGAGAGTGGGAGAGGTTGCAGTACCACTTTTTGCCAGATTTTAACATATTGCTCCTTTAAATAAACGTTTCCTTTTTTCTTGTGAATTTAAAAACCCACATAAACGAGTAGCGTCCAAACGAGTGACCCTATTTCTCCATCCAATCTGATAATCCCACAATAACACTCAGGGGATTGACATAACCGTTTCAGCTGTGGTGAGATTGGCTTTGAGCTCCACCCTGCTGCCTCTTCAAAGACAGCACATTTACACACTGTGCGATATTTAACTAGATTAGCAGTGATATCAAACAACGTGACTCTGTTACAAAAGTCCACATTTCGAACATTAACCGATTTTGTCCAATTGTGTGGTATGGTGTGTCAGCCAAAGGTTGAAAGCAGCAACCACTTTGGGTAATCGCAGACACATGTCAGACTTTGAAGCCCATCAAAGACCGGTCCAAGCACCTGTTCCACATAAGTATCCATGAAAATAAGGACAAAATGGAAGAACATGTAAAATGTGAAGAGTAGTCTGCCAGAAACTCATAAAATGCCTAGACTGTATTATGGGAAAGGACTTAAAATATGTCAGAGGGTGAGTGGGAACTAGCTGCAGAAAGGAAAAGTTTGAAGATTAATTGATGTGTGTAATGAATGATGATTTTCCGTAATCAAGCAGGTGATTAAAACTTGATTTGCCCCATTAATATGTTAAAGTTAAGGCTATAGGAATGTCAAAACGCACACTCTCACGGCACATCTGAAGCTTTGCAGTTGGTTTTCTTTGCAGCATGTATTTCAACAGTAGATTAATTTTTCCACATGGTATAATGTCATTTATTTGGCAACCATACAAGACAATGGAAAAAGGGGGAAAAGGCCCTTCAAGTTAATGAGAGAAAGGCAGGAAAAATGGGGAAAAAGAAAGTGTTGGGTGTTGTTTAATATTGTCATTGGCGACAAAGGACCAGACCATATGGACCTGAAAAAAGTTCAGACAAATATGCAAGGTGAAAATATTTCATGAAACGCAAAAGTGACATGTGGTGAGTTTGTAAATGATTCAGAGCATTTCAGGGACAGCAACAATTCTGTCGTTAGGGACAATTGTGGAAATTTGGATTAGTTCAGAAAGATCTCCAACTTAATTCTGCTGCTGTCAACCAATTACATGTTTGCATTCATCATAATCATCATCAAACTTTAATTACACTCAAGGTCCAGGTTAAGACAAACACAAAACAACACATATAATCACAGCAATAAGCTTCACTTCTCAGGGCAAAGAGCTGTACCATTGTCTCCACAGATCTGACTGGTACTGCATGGCACTGAATTTGACATTTGTCAGGCTTATGATTGTAATGTTCTGGCTTTCATTGAACCGACAGGTAAAACTATACATCAGACATCGAATGGCTGCCTGAAATGTCCTGATTCCAGCGGACACAAACAAAGTACTTGCACTTTCCCATCTTGGCCTTTTCAATAAAATCCTCAAGGAACGGTGCCTCTCAGCAAGAAGATCCTGGGTTCGAATCCTGGTTGAATCGGGGTCTTTCTGAGTGGAGTTTGCATGTTCTCCTCGTGCTTATGCAGATTTACTCCGGGTACTCAGGGTTCCCCTACCACTAAAAACATGCTCACTAGGTTAAATCCTCCAGCTCCGGTGGTCCTGACCAAGCCGAGCATCAACATCTGGAGATGGGCTCCCCGGCACTCTACTACAGCGACCACTGCTCCTGACGTAAGCCTTAGCGGCATCAGGATGGGTCAAATGCAGAGGATGAATTGCCTTATGGGGACAATACAGTGCACCTTTACCAAGCAGTCGTTGTATGCCACATTGAGTTTGCGAATTGTTGCTTTTTTGTATTTAGTCCACAAGTGTGCTGCATTATAACCTGTCACTATCAAAACTAACTGCAAAATTTCTCCTCACAGAAGTATGACCCTCAAGAACTACACACAGGGAAGTGCATTGGCCACCTGAGAGAATGTAGAAATGCACTGCACAGAATCAACAGTTTGTCTTGTTTTTATTATTTAATCAAGATAAATTAGTGC